CTGGAGGTTGCACCCCACCAATATTCACTGTGGGAAAATTGATTCAAGTCCAATTACAGTCCACAGATTTGCTTCTTCTTTTTGTTTCTTTATTTTACGTCACGCAGTGCTGCTGCTGCTGCTTCCAACAAACTGTCATGCGACTACAGATTTCCCAGCTACACAATCTGTTTCCCTCAATGCTTTGTCAGGTCACTTTATACTTGGAGCCCATGCTCTACATCTCCTACTCAGAATTAATCTTGTATTTTCTCGGCATCTGCATGGGCTGATGATGATGAAGCACTGAGGGAAACAGATTGTTTACCTGGAAAATCTGTAGTCGCATGACAACTGTTGGAAGCAGCAGCAGCAGCACTGCATGACGTAAAATAATAATGATAATAATAATAAGAGATTGGATTTATACCCTGCCCTTCACTACCCAAAGGAGTCTCAGAGCGGCTTACAAACTCCTTTCCCTCCCCCTCCCCACAACAGACACCCTGTGAGGTAGGTGGGGCTGAAAGAGCTCTGGCAGAAACGGCTCTTTTTCAAGAAGAGGAAGAAGAGATTGGATTTATACCCTGCCCTTCACTACCCAAAGGAGTCTCAGAGCGGCTTACAAACTCCTTTCCCTTTCCCTCCCCACAACAGACACCCTGTGAGGGAGGTGGGGCTAAGAGAGCTCTGACAGAAACTGGTCTTTTTCAAGGACAGCTCTGGTCAGAACTACGGCTTGCCCAAGGTCATCCAGCAGATGCAAGTGGAGGAGTGGGGAATCAAACCCATTTCTCCCAGTTTAGAGTCCACACACTTAACCACGACACCAAACAAAAAGAAGCAGCAGCAAATCTGTGGACTGTAATTGGACTTGAATCCATTTTTCCACAGTGAACACTGGTGGGGTGCAACCTTGGTTGAGTCACTGTGGTCCATTTGTGGCTGGAACCAGCTGGAGGTTGGCACCCCCACACACTGAGCTGGGCACGCACACGCCGTGTCTACCTTTGGCTGCTTCTATAAGGATCCTCAAACCGTCGTGTTCCACCACAATCATCTTGGCGTGGTCATGGGCGTGGCCAAAGGGCACCCGGATGTCATCGTCAAATGTCAGGATGCGCAGCCCCGAGCAGGCCTCCCGGACGACATCGGCGCGGTCCCCATGTCGGACGATGGCCCCAGCCAGAAGCTGGAGGATGCCGCCTTTCACCAGGTCTTGCCGGTTCTGCTCGTGCTTCAGGCAGGCGTAGCGAATGCCACGCACCGCGGCAAGGGTCAGTTCAGCATCGTCCCGGCTCTCCCGCAGCACTCGCAGCAACAGCTCCTGCCCGGAGGCATCAAGGAGGTCAGGCTGGCCATCCATGAGCGCAGAGAGGGCATTGAGGGCTTTAAGCAGCGAGCACCTGTCTTCAGACGCCAGCCGACAAGCCGCCAGCACAGCGGGGTAGGCCCCTTTCTGCCCCGCCAGGTAACGGACTGCCAGTTCCTGTCTGCACTGCTCGGCAAAGCTGACTAGAAGCTCATCGACTTTGCTAGAGTCAGAGTCAACCACAGCTTTCTGGAGGGAGTCCAACGTCTGCGGAAGGAAAAGAGAAAGAACCTATAGATTACAGCTAGGGAGGAAACCAGATTTTGCAAGCTGGTCTGATTAGAATCCCCTCATTCCCGTAGAATACTGAATACCATTTACGTTAGTTAAAAAAATCAGACGCCATTAGCCATAGCATCTCTTGATGCCGTGATCTAATTTATTACGGCAAGAGCCAGTAAAACAGTACAATTCTGATATAAGAAAGATTAAAACAACAATAACATAGCAATAATATAAAAACATTAACAAGATAAAATTAATAAAATTAGTAAAATAAAATAATGTTAATAAGAGAATCATACAATTTTTTCAGCTAAAATAAGTTTACGTTTCCTAATAGCTAAGCAACAAAATTTTGCCACAGCGTAAGTCACTGAGCTCTGAACGTTTTCTAGGAGGAATTTATGAAGGACTTCTGGCCTGAAGTCAAGATAAGACCGCAGAGGGCTAAATCTAGACAGAAGGGGTAGTATAAGATGGTCTCGGTCCTCCTGATAGAATCTGCAGAACAGGAGGACATGACTAACTGATTCCACCATATTAGCCATGCATTGGAAATCGAGTGAGTTTACCTTGATGCACAGAAAGCTTTTGGACATTTAGAATGAGACTAATGATAGACAGTTAAGAAAATTGTTTCTGTTTGGTTTCCTATCTTAGAACATTTATCTCAACAAGAGGAGATACCGAGTATAATTGATAAGTTACACCTTTGGTAATATGTTCTCTGCTTATCTGCAACTGGAAATTCAAAACAAGTTAGGATTCTCCATACATCATAAATCATTCAAATATATGGGAGTTACTATCCCAAAGAATTTAAATAAACTACAACAGCTAAACTTCCACCTGGTTATTCTGCAAATAAGAAGAGATATTAAAAGATGGTCCCAGTTACAGCTGACAATCATGGGTAGAATCAACACTATCAAAATGATGGCACTCCCAAAATTAAATTACTTCTTTCAAACGCTTCCCATATATATCACATCAAGGGACCTCGCCCTTTCCCAGACAGCCCCCCATCCCCAGATCTCCCCTCACCTGCAGAATGACATGCTTCTGTTCTTGACCATTCTCAGGGACAGGATTGGGGGCTACTTTCACTATGTTGCTCAAATCCACACCTGGAGAAAGCAAGAGAGACAGAAAAAGAAGACTGCATCAAGGTCCACAAACAATTCTTCTCACTTGACCCCATATCTCTGCCCCTCCCCCCGGTGGTTTATTTACAGAATTTGAATCCCATGACTGAGAAGGCCGTCTCTGGAACACACTCTCTGCAGCAGTGATGCTCTGTATTGGTGCTTGCGGGGCCACGGTGGGAGGGCTTCTAGAGCTCTGCCCCCACTGGTGGAACCTGGGTTTTGGCCACTGTGTAACAGAGCATTGGACTGGATAGGCCATTTCCCTGATCCAACATGGCTTCCCTTATGTTCTTATGCCTGAGGCAGTGATGCGCTGTAATCTTGGTGCTTGGAGGGCAGCTGTGGGAGGTCTTCTGGAGTTCTGGCCCCACTGTTGGATCATCTGATGGCCTCGGGGTTTTGGCCATTGTCTGACACAGAGTGTTGGACTGGAGGGGCCATTGGCCTGATCCAACATGGCTTCTTTTATGTTCTTATGTCTGAGGCAGTGATGCTTTGTAATCTTGGTGCTTGGAGAGCAACAGTGGGAGGGCTTCTGGAGATCTGTCCTTGCTGGTGGACCTCCTGATGGCACCTGGGTTTTGGCCACTGTGTGACACAGTGTTGGACTGGATGGGCCATTGGCCTGATCCAACATGGCTTCTCTTATGTTATTATGTCTGGAGCAGTGATGCTCTGTATTCTTGGTGCTTGGGAGGGGCGACAGTGGAAGGGCTTCTGGAGTTCTGGCCCCGCTGGTGGACCTCCTGATGGCACCTGGGTTGTAGCCACTGTGTGACACAGAGTACTGGACTGGATGGGCCACTGGCCTGACCCAACATGGCTTCTCCTATGTTCTTAAGTTGCACATAAATACATTTTACACATATCTTAGTAAAGCCACTTGGCTCTTGCAGGCATCTTCTGGCACAGCGCTGGCTGTTCAAACAGTGATCTGGGCCAGCGGTTCTTCGACCCACCATCCTCCACCAAGCACTCAGCCACAGTAGACACTGTGCTCCCACCACCAAACCAAAATAAGGACATAAAAACAGAACTCCAGACAAGGTATCCTTTTTCATGATACTTGCAAATGAACCACAGGTATCAGGCATACCTTCATACAGGGGTCATTTCATAGAAGAAGAGGTGCAGGAGCTCATTAAGACTCACACAACCACTTTTAACTTTAAAAGGGGTAATTTTTCTGATATGAGGGGACATGTGGGGAGGAAACTGAAGGGAAAAGTAGAAAGAGTCAAAACCATTGGGGAAGCTTGGAAACTATTTAAAACTACGATTCTAGAAGCTCAAAAAAAATATATTCCGCAGATTAGGAAAGGCACAAACAGGTATAAGAAAAAGCCTACATGGTTAACAAACAAAGTAATGGAAGCTGTAAAAGGTAAAAAAAATTCCTTTAAGCGGTGGAAAGCTAGTCACAGTGAGGCTGATAAAACGGAACACAGGCTATGGCAAATAAAATGCAAGTCTGTAGTCAGGCAGGCAAAAAGGAAATATGAGGAGCATATAGCAAAAAATGTAAAGACCAACAATAAAACTTTCTTCAAATACATTAGAAGCAGGAAACCAGCCAGGGAGGCAGTGGGGCCCTTGGATGACCAAGGTGTAAAAGGAGTACGGAAGGATGATAGGGAAATGGCTGAGAAGCTAAATGCATTTTTTGCCTCCGTCTTCACTGTGGAAGATGAGAGGTGCTTGCCCACTCCAGAGCCGCTGAGTTCGGGAGGGGTGTTGAAAGACCTGAGTCAGATTGAAGTGACGAGAGAGGAGGTCCTAAAACTGATAGCCAACTTAAAAACTGATAAATCACCAGGCCCAGATGGCATACATCCAAGAGTTCTGAAAGAACTCAATTGTGAACTTGTGGATCTCCTGACAAAAATATGTAATCTCTCCTTAAAATCAGCCTCCATTCCTGAGGACTGGAAGGTAGCTAATGTCACTCCCATCTTTAAAAAGGGTTCCAGAGGAGATCCGGGAAATTACAGGCCAGTCAGTCTGACGTCGATACCGGGTAAATTGGTGGAAACCATTATTAAGGAAAGAATTAGTAGGCACATAGATGAACAAAACCTATTGAGGCAGACTCAACATGGGTTCTGTAAGGGAAGATCTTGTCTCACTAACCTGTTAATGTTCTTTGAGGGGGTGAACAAACATGTGGACAAGGGGGATCCAATAGATATTGTTTACCTTGACTTCCAGAAAGCTTTTGATAAAGTTCCTCATCAAAGGCTCCTAAGTAAGCTCAAAAATCATGGGATAAAAGGACAAGTCCTTTTATGGATCAAAAACTGGCTAATTAATAGAAAACAGAGAGTGAGTATAAATGGGCAGTTCTCCCAGTGGAGGGGTGTAAGCAGTGGGGTACCACAGGGATCAGTACTTGGTCCACTGCTTTTTAACTTGTTCATTAATGATTTGGAGTTGGGAGTAAGCAGTGAAGTGGCTAAATTTGCGGATGATACGAAGTTGTTCAGGGTGGTGAAAACCAGTGAGGATTGTGAGGCACTCCAAAGGGATCTGTCAAAGTTGGGCGAGTGGGCGTCAACATGGCAAATGGGGTTCAATGTGGCCAAGTGCAAGGTGATGCACATTGGAGCCAAAAATCCTAACTATAAATACACGTTGATGGGGTCTGAACTGGCAGAGACAGATCAAGAGAGAGATCTTGGAGTTGTAGTAGATAACTCACTGAAAATGTCGAGACAGTGTGTGACTGCAATAAAGAAGGCCAATGCTATGCTGGGGATTATTAGGAAGGGTATTGTAAACAGATCAGCCAATATCATAATGCCGCTATATAAATCAATGGTGCGACCTCATCTGGAATACTGTGTGCAATTCTGGTCACCACACCTTAAAAAGGATATTATAGCTTTGGAAAAAGTGCAGAAAAGAGCAACTCGAATGATAAAAGGGTTGGAACACTTTCCCTATGAGGAACGGTTAAGGCGCTTAGGGCTCTTTAGCTTGGAGAAACGACGACTGAGGGGTGACATGATTGAGGTTTATAAGATTATGCATGGGAAAGAGCAGGTAGAGAAAGAGGTACTTTTCTCCCTTTCTCACAATACAAGAACCCGTGGGCACTCCATGAAATTGCTGAGCGGTCGGGTTAGAACGGATAAAAGGAAGTACTTCTTCACCCAAAGAGTGATTAACACTTGGAATTCACTGCCACAGGAAGTGGTGGCAGCTACAAGCATGGACGGCTTCAAAAGGGAATTAGATAAGCATATGGAGCAGAGGTCCATCAGTGGCTATTAGCCACAAGGTATAGATAGGGACTCTGGGGCAAGTGATGCTCTGTCATCTTGGTGCTTGGGGGGGGGTCAACAGTGGGAGGGCTTCTAATGTCCTGGCCCCACTGGTGGACCTCCTGATGGCACTGGTATTTCTGGCCACTGTGGGATACAGAGTGTTGGACTGGATGGGCCTTTGGCCTGATCCAACATTGGCATCTCTTATGTTCTTATGTTCTTATGTTCTCTAATCTGGGAGAACCAGGTTTGATTCCCCACTTTTGGACTGGGGGCCGGGGGGGGGCCTCTGCAACGTACCTGGCTGCTTCTTGCTCTGACTGAGGGGTGCTGGGAGCAGGGGGTTGGGCTTGTTGCATGAGCCCGCCCCCTGGGCTCTTTACTGTCGGAGCTTCGCTCCTGTGCGCTCCTGCAGGAAATGACCCCTGCCTTCATAGAATCACAGAGCCGGAAGGGACCTTCAGGGTCATCTAGCCCAATCCCGTGCACAATGCAGGGAATTCACAAATACCTCCCCCCCAAGCCCCCACTGACCCATTCCATGCCCGGACCCTTGTAACTGGCAGCCATAAGCCAGTGCCCTAATGTCAGGTTGCATTCCCATTTGCTGTGTGCCACCTTTTTAAAAGGGTCTGGGAGAGATCTCTCAGGATTTATCCTAAAGGCAGGGCAAACACCGTAAAACAACTGAGCTCCTGGCTGTCAGGAGCCCTTGCAAAAGTGGAAAGAAGGTGCTGGCAGAGATCCCCTATTTGCCCCTAAAGCCCTGAAGGGCCCGTAAGATTTGTAGACCCCTCCCTGGGGACCATACACCCTTTGGGAACCCTCGCAGCTCGGGAACGGGTTGTGTGTGTGTGCAGGAGACACGGGACTGAAGGAAGGCACTCCTCAATGGGGGAAGAGCCACTGACAGTCAAAGGAGACGACAGTCTGTGTCAGTCTAAGGCAGCACCATACATTCACACTTTGCCATGCTGAACTGCTTCCTTGGTCATGTGCTCCATTCCACCAGCTGGGCCTAACTCCCACTCGGGCTGAAGGCTCCCCCAGAACACACCCGAAGCTGTGGAGGAAGATCCACAGTGGGTGTGCAAACTCTCTCTCAGGGATGTCTGCCATTTATTTATTTTTAAGAAGAGAGGAGAGAAGAGATTGGATTTATACCCCGCCCTTCACTACCCAAAGGAGTCTCAGAGCAGCTTACAAACTCCTTTCCCTTCCCCTCCCCACAACAGACACCCTGTGAGGTAAAAGAAGAAGAGATTGGATTTATACCCCGCCCTTCACTACTCAAAGGTGTCTCAGAGCGGCTTGCAAACTCCTTTCCCTCCCCCTCCCCAGAACAGACACCCTGTGAGGTAAAAGAAGAAGAAGAGATTGGATTTATACCCCGCCCTTCACTACCCAAAGGAGTCTCAGAGCGGCTTTCCCTCCCCCTCCCCAGAACAGACCCAGAACAGACACCCTGTGAGGTAAAAGAAGAAGGGATTGGATTTATACCCCACCCTTCACTACCCAAAGGAGTCTCAGAGTGGCTTACAAACTCCTTTCTCTTCCCCTCTCCACAACAGACACCCTGCGAGGTAAAAGAAGAGATTGGATTTATACCCCGCCATTCACTACCCAAAGGAGTCTCAGAACGGCTTACAAACTCCTTTCCCTCCCCACAACAGACACCCTGTGAGGTAAGCGGGGTTGAGAGAGCTCTGACAGAAACGACTCTTTTTCAAGGACAGCTCTGACAGAACTATGGCTTGCCCAAGGTCATCCAACAGCTGCGAGTGGAGGAGTGAGGAATCAAACCCAGTTCTCCCAGATTAGAGTCCGCACACTTAACCAATGCACCAAACTGGATTTAAGTGGTAAATGCCAACTCCTTCTCTGCTTAAACAGACTTACAATGGGAAATAATAGATTCAGGTGGATAGCTGTGTTGGTCTGAAGCAACAGAACAAAGTCTGAGTCCAGGGGCACCTTGGGAGACCACCAATTAAAGAATTAAACTTTGTTGGTCTTAAAGGTTCCACTGGACTCAAACTTAAAAAAAAATTTTTTAAATGTTTATTGCTCAAACTTCTGAATGCCTCTTAATTCCCCCTAGTTACCAACCTGAACAAAAAATTCGTACCGGACTCAAACTTTGTTTAATGGGAAGGATAGAATACAATAATACAAGTACAACAGCATTGCTCAGAGAAGCCGTTTCCCATCTGATAATCAGACATTTGGTCAAGTCACTTGAACCCCCACTATAATAGCACCCATGTACCAAAGAATCCTTCCAAAGCTTCTGAGGAACGTTTGGGTTCCCCCAAATGCAGCTTGAAACCACTGGCTGGCGCATATTCCTGAAAAGCACAGCCATCCATGTTCAGCAAGAAGTACCTTGAGACTCAAACTGCTGGATAGCGTCAATCACTGCTTCTTCCGGTTCCATGCCAAACTCACTGATATTTTCCTGCACCACACTGTCAAATGTCTCCTGGATAATCCGTTTGGCTGCCATGTTGATTCTACACAGATCTGGATTCTTGGCCTGCAAGAGAGAAATGTGAATGGAGTTTATCTATGTTTATGCTTCTTCTTCTAAAACTGGCAATCCAAACGGGGAACAAGGTTTTCACCTAGGAAAACAAAGAACTTAAAAGAACCCTGCTGGATTGGACCAGTGGTCTACATAGTCCAGCATCCTGTCTCACACAGTGGCCAACCAGTTACTACAGTGGGCCAACAACAGGGCATAGAGCATAGAACTTATTTGTTATGAGGGCCGGATCTGACATAAATGAGACCTTGTTGGGCCGGGGCTTGTGTGCCATAAAATGTAATGCCACGTAGCAGAGATATAAACTTTATAAAGGACACAAACACAAAGGGGTTTTTTTTTTACTTAAAATAAAAACATCCTTAAAACATTAGAACTCTTGCAAATTTGTTTATTTAACCGAGTCTGATAACTGACACTTCTTGCTCTGAATTATTGCATCAAAGTGTCTGTGCGTTTGCAATCTTGAGTATGCTATTCAGGTGTGTATCTGTAAACTGCAGACTTACAACAATGCAGCAGCTGCAGAACTGGAAGAAGAAGCAGAAGACAGCCAGTTCCACTGCGGGCCTGATAGAAGCCTTCCAGGGGCCTGATCCAGCCCCCAGGCCGCATGCACCCCTGGCATAGAGGCTGAGACACTGGGATCCGGAGGTTGACTGCCTCCAAACACAGTGGTTCCCTTTAGTCATCACAGCTAGGAGCCACTGACAGATCTCTCCTTCACAAATCTGTCTAATCCCCTTTTAAAACTGTCTGTACTTCCGGCCATCACTACATACTCTTTCAGCAAATTCCACATTTTACATCGCTCATTGTATAAAGAAGTGTTTCCTTTGAACACCATCATGACAATTCTCATTCCAACATTAAACAAATAGAATGTGATATTCCAGAAATCTGTCTTCTCGTGTTTGAATGTCTCCAATGTACACCTGCCTACGAGTTGCCTACAATCAGACCCTGGGTTCAGCTAAGCTTGGGACTACCAACTCCGGCTGGCAGCAGCTCTCCAGGGCCTTGGGCAGGGAAATGCCTTCCTTAGCACCTGCCACCTGAAATCCTTGAAGGGGAAATGAAGAGGATGGATCGCAAGATTCTGCACGCGGAGAATGTGCTTTAACACTGAGACATGCTTCCCCACCAAGACATGAAGTTGCCCTTTTGGCCCATCTAGTTCAATTTTTGTCTATTAAAATCTCTACAGCAGGGGTGTCAAACATGCGTCCCGGGGCCCCCAGAGGGCTTCTATCAGACCTGCAGTTGAACTGGCTGTCTTCTGCTTCTTCTTCCAGTTCTGCTGCTGCGTCATCGTAGGTTTGCAGCTTACAGATACACACCTGTCAGTTATCAGACACTGTTAAATAAACAAAATATTTGTTGTTGTTGTTGTTCAGTTGTACAGTCGAGTCCGACTCTTCGCAACCCCATGGACCACATCACGCCAGGCCCTCCTGTCTTCCGTCACGCTCCAGAGTTTGCTTAATTTCATGTTCCTTGCCTCGATAACACTGTCTAACCATCTCAGCCTTTGCCACCCCCTTCTTTAACCTTCAATCTTTCCCAGCATCAGGGTCTTCTCCAGTGAGTGCTCCCTTCTGATTTGGTGGCCAAAGTATTTGAGCTTCAGTATCTCGCCTTCCAGGGAACAGTCAGGGTTGATATCTTTTAGGATAGATTTGATCTCCTTGCAGTCCAGGGGACTCTCAAGAGTCTTCTCCAGAAAACAAAAAAATGGCAAGAGTACTAATGTTTTAAGCATGTTTTTATTTTAAGTTTTAAAAAATCCTTTGTGTTTGTGTCCTTTATAAAGTTTATATCTCCTCTACCTGGCATTACATTTCATGACACACATGGCCCCGGCTAAACAAGGTCTCATTTATGCCAGATCCGGCCCTCATAACAAATGAGTTTGACACCCCCATTCTACAGTCTTTTAGTCCAGAGGTGTCTGTTTGGACTGATCGGAAATCTCCAGCATCTCAGATTAGGCATTTTTCCAGACTGGAGATGCGACAACCCACGGGAAATAATGAGGAGGAAAAATTCCAAAGTACTTTTAACAACTTCTTAATGGGAGAACTGGGAAATCTGGGGGATCATTGCCCCCCCACCCCCAAAGAACCCTCCTACATTTGTTTTCCTTTTAGACTGAGTGAAACGCTTTTTAAAAACAATTTTTCGTTAAAAGTTCTAAAGGGGAGAAAAACTGCTGCATTATGCCCAAGTTGATTTTGGCAGGATGCCCCTACTTACACTGAGAGAGCTCACCACTGCAGTAGCAAAAATGCCCAAAATATCTTCCCTGGATGCAGCTCCGTGCCAGCAGCCCCTGCATAGACACCACTTGGCATTCTACCACAACCTTCTTTACCCATTTGGCTTGCCTGGGAAAGATGCAGCCTTTGCAATGAATTTGAAGCTTAAGAGAAATGGGCTTGTTTCAAGTGTACGCCAAGGGTCTGAGCTGCTGCCATGTGTTACATATTCTTTGCATGCAAAAGGTCTATTCTCCATTTAAAGAGACTCAAGTAGCAGGTGCTGTGAAAGGTATTACTCTGCCAGAGACCCTGGAGAGTCATCGTTAGTCAGAATAGGCATGCTGACTGGGTGAACTAAGTCTGATTCTGTACAAGGCAGAAGGAGAGTCCCGCTGGATCTGTAGTCCCGCTTCCTGTCTCACACAGAGGCCAACTAGTTCCTCTGGAGGGCCAACACCAGGGCATAGAGGCCGAGGCCTTCCCTGATAAGAACATAAGAAAAGCCCTGCTGAAACAGACCAATAGTCCCTCTAGTACAGTATCCTGTCTCACACAGTGGCCAGCCAGTCCTTCTGGAGGGCCAACAACAGGGCAGAGAGGCTTAGGCCTTCATAAGAACATGAGAAGAGACCTGCTGGATCAGACCAATAGGCCATCTGGTCCAGCATCCTGTCTCACACAATGGCCAGACAGTTCCCCTGGAGGGCCAACAACAGGGCAGAGAGGCCGAGGCCTTCACCTGATGTTGGTGCTGGTATTCAGAGGTTGACTGCCTCTGAACGTGGAGGTTCCCTTTAGTTCCCATGGCCAGTAGCCACTGATAGACCTCATTGGATTTGCCTAGTTCCCCCTGAAAGCTGTTTATGCCTGTGGCCATCACTACATCCTCTGGCAACGAACCCCACGTTTTTATCATTCATTGTGTAAAGAGAAGAAGAGGAGTCTCAGAATGGCTTACAATCTCCTTCCCTTCCTCTCCCCACAACAGACACCCTGTGAGGTAAGTGACGTTGAGAGAGCTCTTTGGGAACTGTTCTTGAGAGAACTGTGGCTTGCCCAAGGTCACCAAGCAGCTGCATGCAGAGAAGTGGGGAATCAAACCCGGTTCGCCCAGATTAGAGTCCATGCTCCTAACCACTACACCAAACTGGCTCTCAGAAGTCCTCAAGTCTACTTCCTAACAACTTCTTTGGATGAAGGCAGCTTCATACAGTCAGAGTTTTGCAATCAGGAGGACCTGACTCAATTCAGAAGGGCCTAAGTGGGAAAACACTTTCTCTGCTGCCTGGGTCAGTGGTCTGACTCAATCTGTGGCAGGTCACTGTGTCCCTCGCTCACTAGGCGACTCCACTGCTCTGCTTGCAGAAGGCCCTGGGTTGGGAAAGACCTCTCACCTGGTAGAGTTGCAGGCATATACCAGGAGTGGCTGAGGCTCAATGGCAGAGCAACTGCTTTGCACACAGAACATCTCAGGCTCAATCCCCAGCATTTCTAACTAAAAAGATCAGGCAGCAGGTGCCTATGTTGCTATAAGTCTACTTGTTGTTGTTGTAGTGAGGCTGGGTTTTTTTTTTGGTAGGTAGAAGGTAGAATCATTTTATTGTATATGGCCATATCAATATCAAAACACTCTCAGAAAGTTTATACATTAAATAATAAGAATAATTTTAAAAATTCAACCTCTACTAACATGTATAAAACACCTGCTAAGACCATCTTGGCCTCTAACAATTAGAACTGATAAGACCTTTAAAAATCTCTCACTTGGTTGCAACGGTACTGTTTAATTTCTTTGCTCTAATCTTTCTAGCAGCCAAGGCAAAGAAAGCCACTCTTGCAGAGATGAAGGAATCCTCGCCTGAGAGCATAAGGGCTATCTTGTCATAATCAGACAGGGGGTATTGGGCTGTCAATCGCGTTGCTAAAAATTTGGCCCTGGGTTCTGTGTATGAAGGACAGGCCAGGATACAGTGAGAAAGGTCTTCCACTGACTGACTGCATATACAGATACGTTGGTCTACTGGAGTCTTAGTGAGGCTGTTGTCAACCATTCACTAACAGCTGGCTATCACTTATGTGCTGTAAGAGAACCAATGAATCCCTCACAACCAACCGATTCCTTTCTTGGGATGCAATCAACCCTTTTAATGCATATTACTGTGTTTAAATTCTAGCTCTATTTATTGTATTGTTGGATGTGGTTCCCCACCCTGAGCTTGCTTGCGGGAAATAAATAAATAAATAGATTCCAGAGTAAACTAGCATAGGATGACTGCAGTACGATCGCTTCAGGCAGAGAGCCATGTTCATCTGTAGTAGTAGGGGGGAAAAATCGAAATAAAATGGCACCTTGAAAAGCAAGCACTTTCTCAAGGGTAACAGATAAGAGACTTAACCTACACTAAGCCCTTCCTAATGCTGTAGTAGAAGGATTTATTTCTACATAAGCATGCATAAAGCTCAGGTTGCGTGTGCATCGCATCCATTTAGGATTTATGTGTGGGTAAGGCTGCCTGCAGCATCCAGACAGAGTCCCAGAAGTGCAAAAAAAAAAAAAAGAGAGACAGCTAAGCGTACATAAATGCTAAGCACATCTTAAGCATCTTTTCCTCAGGATTGGAAAAGATCAGTATACATTCCAATCCCAAAGAAGGGCAACGCCAAGGAATGTTCAAACTATCGCACAATTGCACTCATATCACACGCTAGCAAGGTCATGCTCAAGATCCTACAAGCTAGGCTTCAACAGTACGTGGATAGAGAACTACCAGAAGTACAAGCTGGGTTTCGAAGAGGTAGAGGAACTAGAGATCAAATTGCCAACATTCGCTGGATTATGGAGAAAGCAAGAGAGTACCAGAAAAATATCTACTTCTGCTTCATTGACTATGCTAAAGCTTTTGACTGTGTGGATCACAACAAACTATGGCAGGTCCTTAAAGAGATGGGAGTACCAGACCACCTCACATGTCTCTTGAGAAACCTGTATAAGGGCCAAGAAGCGACAGTTAGAACCGGATATGGAACAACTGATTGGTTTAGCATAGGAAAAGGAGTACGACAAGGATGTATACTGTCACCTTGCTTATTTAATATATATGCAGAGTACATCATGCGAAATGCTGGCCTGGATGAATCACAAGCGGGAATTAAGATTGCTGGGGAAAAGATCAACAACCTCAGATATGCAGATGATACCACTCTAATGGCTGAAAGTGAAGAGGACCTAAAGAGCCTCTTGCTCAGGGTAAAAGTGGAGAGCGCAAAAGTGGGCTTGAAGCTCAACATCAAAAAAACTAAGATCATGGCATCCGGCCCCATCACTCCTTGGCAAATAGAAGGGGAAGTCGTGGAAGTAGTGACAGACTTCACGTTCCTGGGATCCCAGATCACCGCAGACTGTGACAGCAGCCATGGAATTAAAAGACGCCTGCTTCTTGGGAGGAAAGCGATGGAGAACCTCAACAGCATAATAAAAAGTAGCATGAACAAAAGTCCGCATGGTCAAAGCAATGGTATTCCCAGTAGTCATGTATGGCTGCGAGAGTTGGACTATAAGGAAGGCCGAGCGCTGAAGAATAGATTCTTTTGAACTATGGTGCTGGAGAAGACTCTTGAGAGTCCCTTGGACTGCAAGAAGATCAAATCAGTCAGTCCTAAAAGAAATCAACCCTGACTGTTCCCTGGAAGGCCAGATAATGAAACTGAAGCTCAAATACTTTGGCCACCAAATGAGAAGGGAGCACTCACTGGAGAAGACCCTGATGCTGGGAAAGATTGAAGGTCAAAGAAGACGGGGACAGCAAAGGATGAGATGGTTAGACAGTGCCATCGGTGCAACGAACATGAAATTGAGCAAACTTCAGAGGACGGCGGAAGACAGGAAGGCCTGGCGTGATCTGGTCCATGGGGTCTCGAAGAGTCGGACTCGACTCTGCGACTGAACAACAACAATATTGCAGTCTTCTCGCTCTGCTTACCTGGTTCCTTGGCGCTCCCAGCGACCGCCCTCTCGAACTAATAAGGCAGCACTGAAACTGCCGAGCTCCAAAAAATGTGCATCAACAGCAGCTAATTACAGCGCCTACACTAATTTTGGCCCCGCGCGGCCCCCATACAACCCCCAACTGCCGTACCCAGTGGTGTCCCCGCTAGCCAATAGAAACGCCGGCCAACTGCCATAAAAGGATGTTTCACTGCGCATGCGTCACTTTTCCACAGCCGGAACGTCAGACCTTGGCGCATGCGCGTGGCTATCCATTGGGGAAACTAAAGAGCGCGTGCGTTTTGGCGATTCGCGGGTGGGTGAATTTCCGCTTCCTTAACGCGCTCTACGAGGTGGGTGGTGGGGAGGGAAGGGAGAATTAAATACTCGTCGTTGCAGCTGGCGAGTAAATGACGAACTCCTCCTAGACAAGGCGGGACTTGTGCGCATGCCCAATGAGAGCGATCCTCCCCGGGAAAAGGCGTTAATGGGGAACAGAAACGCTCCGATTTTTTGCGCATGCGCTGACAGGGAAACAGCTATAATACGCGCATGCGTAGAAATAACTTTCCCCCCCTTTCTCTTCCCCACCCGATCTATAGAATCGCTGCACCTTCTGCAGCGGAAGCGTTCGGCAAGAAGACCGCTACCGTTATCTGCGCATGCGCTCGAGGAAGTGACGAGAAAAGGGGGTGGGCTGGTGCGCCGGGCGCATGCGCCGGGAGGCTTGTCCGTAGCTTGTGGGATTCTTTCTTGACCGGCGGTTGCTGAGGGAAGCTTGAGAGGCGGGGGTTGTCGTGGGGTAGCTAAGGGGAGACCCCTTCCCCTGGAACTGAAGCGCGGAAGAGGCTTTCCTCACCCCACAGGGTCTCGGAGAGGGGAAGAGGAAGGCCTGTCTTGGAGAGGTGGGTTGCCAGCAGACTAACGGGAGAATTCGGCCTTGGCCTGCTCCGAGGTTACCAATCTCCAGGAGGCAGCTGGAGTTCCCCTGGGATTATAACTAGGGTTGCGAGCCTCCAGGTGGGGCCTGGGGATCTCCCGCTTTTACAACCGATCCCCAGCCGACAGAGACGGGCTCCCCCGGAGAAAATGGCTGCTTTGGAAGGTGGACTCCGTGGCATCGTCCCGTGCTGAGGCCCCTCCCCAAACCCCGCCCTCTCCCGGATCCTCCCCCAAAGTCTCTCGGTATTTCCCGACCCAGACTTGGCAATCCTAATTCTAACTGATCTCCAGGCGACAGAGATCAGTTCACCAGGAGAATTTGGCCACTTTGGAAGGCGGTCTTTACGGCATCACACCCCACTGAAGTCCCCGCCCTCCTCAAACCCCGCCCTCCCCAGGCTCCACCCTCCCAAAAATCTCGAGGATTTTCCACACCCAGCGCTGGCAACCGTAGACTGTTCCTATGCTGGGATCTGCAGGCGGAGCCTCTCCTGGGCGTGGAAGCGCCTGCTGCTGCTAGCAAAGCTGGGGCCTGGGGTGTGTGGCTGGGTGGAGCCTGGGGGGGCTCCTGGGGTTACAGCCAATGTTCCCTCTAAGCCATGGAGTCGTGTGAGCAAAAATGCTAATTTGTGAGCTGCTGGCATGAAAGTTGTGAGCGAGCGACTTGGCTACTGCATAAATTAGGTTACTCTGGAGCCATCCTTCCTGAGCTAAGACAAAAATGTGTGAGCCGGAGGCTAAAAAACTGTGAGCTAGCTCACACTAACTCAGCTTAGAGGGAACACTGGTTACAGCTGGCGTTCACACCTCAGAGGTCAGTTCTCCTGAGGCAAACGGCAGCTTTGGAGGTTGGGCACCCCTGCTCTGCTCTCCTCCCAAACTCCCCCCCCCCGCTCTCCCCAAATCCACAGGAATCTCCCAGGCCAGAGCTGGCAATCTTAGGGGTACTTATTGAGTAGGGATGCCAGTCTCCAGTCGGGGCCTGGAGAGACCCTGAAATTACCGCTGGGTTGCCGGCCTCCAGTGGGACCTGGGGATCCCCTGGAATTACTCCCCGAGGACTAATTCCAGGGGATTCCCCACTTATTGAGTAAAGATGCCAGTCTCCAGGCGGGGCCTGGAGAGACCCTGAAATTACCGCTGGTCTCTGGGTGTAGGGTTGCCGGCCTGCAGGTGGGACCTGGGGATCTCCTGGAATTACTCCGCGATGACTAATTCCAGGGGATTCCCCGCTTATTGAGTAAGGATGCCAGTTTCCAGTCAGGGCCTGGGGAAGTCCTGAAATTATGAGAACTGTCAGCCATGATGATTAATAAGATCCTCCGTGGCGTGAAGTAGTAGATCTTGCTTGGGGAACCAAAAAACAAAGGGGGTGGGATGGATGGTGCTTTCATACCCTGCTTGTCAGCTTCCCAGAGTTTGACTGCCACTGGAAGAGAGACGGTGATAAGTTCTACTTACGGAGTAGGGATGCCAAGTCTCCAGTTAGGGCCTGGAGAAACCCTGCAATTACAGCTGATCTCTGCATGTAGGGTTGCCAGCCTCCAGGTGGCACCTGGAGATCCCCTGGAATTACACCTCACCTACAGACTACAGAGATCAGCTCCCCTGGAGAAGATGGATGCTTTGGAAGGTGGACTCTCTGACATTGTACCACCTTTGAGAGGTCCCTGTCTTCTCAGGCTCCGTCCCCAAATCGACAGGAGTTTCCCCACCTGGATCTGGCAGCCTTACCCTGCCGGTTGTCAGGGGGGACTCGGCAACCCTAGCCATATGGCAGAGATGGTTTAGTGGCCGCTTTGGTGGTGGACTCTGGCACTGTGCCCCACTGACGTCTCTCCCCAGACTCCACTCTCCCTAAGCTCCATCGCCCCCTTCTCCATTAATTTTCCAACCCGAAGCTGGTAACCCGACACTGAGTAAGGGGAAAGCTGGCTTATCTGTCTCAAGTAACAGCCTGATCAGCAGGCGAAGCGCAAGGAGGAATCTGGATAAGACATTTCTCGTACATATATCCTGTTTTCCTTTGTAGGACCGAAGGTGACGGATCAAAGGTGCTCGCTTGGAGGCCGTCAGAGTCAGTTCTGAGGTGAGCGCTTTGTGAAATGCCCGACCAGGCTATGGCTAAAAGATTTTGTTCGGCTTGGAAAGAGGAGGGGCTCTTCGCTCCTTGAATGGGAAACCTTGGGAGTTGCTCTAGAAATTCTGACAGGTGATCTGGGGGGTGGGGATTTTGAAGAGGAGGGTAAAGTGCAAGTAAATGTGCCCCAAAGTGGTGGAGCAGCTTGCTAGATAAGAAAGGCCAAAGTGTGTGAGGCAATTCAGCTTGGGGGGGGGGGGGGGTAACGAGATTTCCCCCTTCCTGTAGTACTTGAACTGGGGAGCACCTCATCAAGATGAGAGCAAGCAGATTCAGGATGGGTGAAAGGACAAGTGCCTCTTCAATCAGTAGATTAGAAATTTGGTGCTAGAAGTAGTGGTGGTGGCGGCTGTGGCTTTAAAAGGGAGTTAAAACACGTTGATGTCAGAGGAGAGGGCCATTGAGACCTGTCAGCCATGATGATTAATAGGCTCCTCCATGGCTTGAAGTAGTATACCTTGCTTGGGGGACCAAAAAACAAGGGTGGGTGGGTCAGATGGATGGTGCCTCCATACCCCGCTTGTCAGCTTCCCGGAGTTTGACTGCCAAAATACCATCATGGAAATACCGTAATGGAAGAGGGTTGGCGGACTAGGTCGGTGAATACTGAGTGGCTCAGGAGCCACATGGGGCTCTGTGATGTGTCTCCGGTGCCTCTTATAAGTACCGTTCCCCAGTATGGCACTTGCCCACTTCAGGAAAGTGGGCAAGGCTTTTGGTTGGAAGCTTGGTTCCTGTGTTTCCACTGTAGAAGAGGGGCTGCTGGAGGAATGGGTAAACTGGATCTCCATGAGGTGAAGGCCTCATGTCAGAGAAGGGAGTAAATGTGGTTCCCCATGTGCTGTGGGCCAAGTACCACTGAATTAGATAGACCTCTCCACTTAAGAAGTGCTCTTGTGTACTGAATCTGTTAACACCTCCCAGACACATTGGCATATTGCAAAAAACAAAGACCAATAATAAAACCTTCTTCAAATACATTAGAAGCAGGAAACCAGCCAGGGAGGCAGTGGGGCCCTTGGATGACCAAGGGGTAAAAGGAGTACTGAAGGATGATAGGGAAGTGGCTGAGAAGCTGAATGCATTCTTTGCCTCTGTCTTCACTGTGGAAGATGAGAAGTGCTTCCCCACTCCAGAACTGCTGATTTTGGGAGGGGTATTGAAAGACCTGAGTCAGATTGAGGTGACGAGAGAGGAGGTCCTACGACTGATAGACAACTTAAAAACTGATGAATCACCAGGCCCAGATGGCATACACCCAAGAGTTCTGAAAGAACTCAAATGTGAACTTATGGATGTCCTGACAAAAATATATAATCTTTCCTTAAAATCTGCCTCCATTCCTGAGGACTGGAAAGTAGCTAGGGTCACTCCCATCTTTAAAAAGGGTTCCAGAGGAGATCCAGGAAATTACAGGCCAGTCAGATGTCAATACCGGGTAAGTTGGTGGAAACTGTTATTAAGGAAAGAATGAGTAAGCACATTGATGAACAAAAACTATTGAGGCAGACTCAGCATGGGTTCTGTAAGGGAAGATCTTGTCTCGCTAACCTGTTAGTGCTCTTTGAAGGAGTGAACAAACATGTGGATAAGGGGGACCCAATAGATGTTGTTTACCTTGACTTCCAGAAAGCTTTTGATAAAGTTCCTCATCAAAGGCTCCTAAGTAAGCTCAATAGTCACAGGATAAAAGGACAAGTCCTTTTGTGGATCAAAAACTGGCTAATAGGAAACAAAGAGTGCGTATAAATGGGCAATTTTGTCAGTGGAGGGTGGTGAGCAGTGGTGAGCAGTGGGGTACTGCAGGGATCAGTACTGGGTCCGATGCTTTTTAACTTGTTCATTAATGATTTGGAGTTGGGACTAAACAGTGAAGTGGCTAAATTTGCGGATGACACAAAATTGTTCAGGGTGGTGAAAACCAGGGAGGATTGTGAGGCACTCCAAAGAGATCTGTCGAGGATGGTCGAGTGGGCGTCAACGTGGCAAATGGGGTTCAGTGTGGCTAAGTGCAAAGTGATGCACATTAGGGCCAAAAATCCTAACTATAAATACACGTTGATGGGGTCTGAATTGGCAGAGACTGACCAAGAGAGAGATCTTGGAGTTGTAGTAGATAACTCACTGAAAATGTTGAGACGGTGTGCAACTGCAATAAAAAGGGCCAATGCTATGCTAGGAATTATAAGGAAGGGAATTGAAAACAAATCAGCCAGTATCATAATGCCCCTGTATAAATTGATGGTGCAACCTCATTTGGAATACTGTGTGCAGTTCTGGTCACCACATCTCAAAAAGGATATTATAGTATTGGGAAAAGTGCAGAAGAGGGCAACTAGAAAGATAAAAGGGTTGGAACCAATGTTCCCTCTAAGCTGTGGAGTCTTGTGAACAAAAATTCTACTTTGTGAGCGACTGGCATTAAAGTTGTGAGCAGGTAATTTGGCTACTGCATAAATTAGTTTGCACTGGCGCCATCCTTCCTGAGCTAAGACAAAAATGTGTGAGCCGGAGGCTAAAAAACTGCGAGCTAGCTCACACTAACTCAGCTTAGAGGGAACACTGGTTGGAACACTTTCCCTATGAAGAACGATTAAAGCTCTTGGGGCTCTTTAGTTTGGAGAAACAACGGCTGAGGGGTGACATGATCGAGGTTTACAAGATTATGCATGGGATAGAGCAGGCAGAGTAAGAAGTACTTTTCTCCCTTTCTCACAATACAAGAACTCATGGGCACTCAATGAAATTGCTGAGCAGTCTGGTTAGAACAAATAAAAGGAAGTACTTCTTCACCCAAAGAGTGGTTAGCACATGAAATTCACTGCCACAGGAGGTGGTGGCGGCTACAAGCATGGACGGCTTCAAGAAGGAATTGGATAAACATATGGTGCAGAGGTCCATCAGTTGCTATTAGCCACAAGGTATAGATAGGAACTCTCAGTCTGGGACAAGTGATGCTCTATATTCTTGGTGCCTGGGGGGGTGGGGGCTTCTAGTGTCCTGGCCGTACTGATGGACCTCCCGATAGCTCCCGGGTATTTCTGGCCACTGTGAGAGTGTTGGACTGGATGGGCCATTGGCCTGATCCAACATTGGCTTCTCTTATGTTCTTATGCTAAAGAGAACCTCCATGCTCAGAGGCAGTTTACCTCTGAGTAGTGGTTGTTGGAGGCAACAGTATGAAGTATCCTGTTGTTCCTTTATGCTCTGCTTGGAGGTCTGTGGCTTGCCACTGTTGCAACCAGCACCAGCTGTGTTCTTATCCAATCCAGCCGATTCCCCCCCTCAAGTAGTAAAAATATAAGAACATAAGAAGAGCCCCGTTGTCCATCTTGTCCAGTGGTCCCTCTAGTCCAGCAACCTGTCTCAACGCAACAGCCAACGAATTCTTCTGGAGGGCCAAAAACACACGGACAAAAAGAAAGACTACTTTACACAGAGAGTGATGGAATTTGCTGCCAGATGATGTAATGATGATCCCAGGAATAAACAGCTTTAAAAGGGGATTAGATAAAGGCACTAATACTCTGAATTCCAGAGCCAGGAGGCAACGTGAGGGGAAGGCCTCAGCCTTTATGTCCTTTTGTTGGCTGTCCAGAGGAACTGGTTGGCAACTCTCTAAGACAAGATGCTGGACTAGATGGAGCACTGGTCTGATCCAGCAGGGCCCTTCTTATGTTCTTATCAGGGGTGACCTCGGCCTCTATGCCCTGTTGTTGGCCCTCCAGAGGATCTGGTTGGCCACTATGTGAGACAGGATGCTGAACTAGATGGACTATCGGTCTGATCCAGCAGGGCTCTTCTTATGTTCTTATGTGTGCCAAGAGGACCCTGGCTCTGGGATGCCACCTCATGTTTTTATGACGACTGTGTTGCTGCAGAACCAAAATGGCCTCTCGGCGGATGTCACAAGAGTCTTTTGATGCCGTAATACAAGCCAAGGTGAAGCGGTACCACCTGGACCGAAGCGACCCCATCGACGAAGCCCTCCATCAGCTTCGAGGTAGCCTTTCTTAATTCCCACTGGGGAGTTAAGTTGCTTCTGCTTTTGTTTCACAGCCTTCTGTTTTGTTAGATAATAACACTTACTGTTTATGAAGCACTTCTTACTGCTCAGCATGCTTTACGCACCTTATCTTCGCTTTCTCCGCCTCAGTGCTGTGAGGCAGATCAGTCCAGTGTCCCCTAGCTGGGAGTGGAGCTGCACCTGCTAGAGCGGGGGTGTCAAACATGTGGCCCAGGGGCCAGATCAGGCCCCCGGAGCGCTTCTATCAGGCCCGTAGTGGAACTGGCTGTCTTCTGCTTCTTCTTCCACTTCTGCTGCTGCTGCGTAATTGTAGGTTTGCAGCTTAGAGATACACACCTGAACAGCATGCTCAAGATTGCAACAGCACAGACATTTTGATGCAGTGATTCAGAGCAAGAGGTGTCAGTTATCAGACACTGCTAAATAAACAAAATATTGCAAGAGTGCTAATGTTTTAAGCATGTTTTTATTTTCAGTAAAAAAAACCCACAACCTTTGTGTTTGTGTCCTTTATAAAGTTTATATCTATGCTACCTTGCATTACATTACATTTTATGACACGCACGGCCCAGCCCGACAGGGTCTCATTTATGGATTCAACACCCGTGTGCTAGAGAATGGCTCGTCTAAGGCCATCTGCTGAGTCCCTGGTGATGACAAGGATTGATCTGTGGATCTTCTGGATCACAGCTCATTTTTTAGTCGCTTAGGCCTGCTCTCAAATTCATACAGCTATAACTTCCAGAGGTGAAATATTTCAAAGCTTGGGGTTTTTGATTTGTTTTTATCTTCTCTTCATCTGCTGATCTTGTTTTGGTGCTCTCTTGACTAGCACACCCCACCCACTTCACCATTGGATATAGCGATAAGAGAAGATGCTTCTTCTAGATGATGTGTAAGCATTGCTGTTGTGAAAAGGAAGGGAAATTACACTCTCCAGAAGCCGAATGTAGGTAAAAATCGGTTTCCTGACTGTTAAAGTCAGCCAACCAAAAAAGAGAACCAGCAATTGTAACACAAAAATTGGTACCGGAGATCTGAAAAAGTATTTCCTAGCCGAAGTGGGTAGAGGAGGGTGTGGATTTGTGGTGGTACGTTCTGTTTCTTAAAATGTTATTTTCATAATATTGGGTGTTGTGGTGGGCTTTTAGGCTGATCTTGCTCTTTGGTTGGTGGTCCCTCGGTAAGCAGCAGATGCCTTGTTTGCATGTCTCCCTGCAGTTCACTCGCGACCAGTCCCACGGACCCGCTATGATGATGATTTGGCTGATGACAGCGAGTACCCGCGTAGTAGTGACTGGAGAGAAGACACCCGCGAGGACTTCTCAGTGCCATCCTATAGATCAAGCAGCCCCGCTGCAGAGGAAGACGACTACTACAACAAAGGCTACAGCCACCCCTCTTCACGGAGCCGAGACTATACCCACTCAATTCCGCGGGAACGAGACTATGGCCATTCATCTTCCACCGACCGGGATTACGTCAGTCCGCTTAACAGGGACAGTGAGTACGACCGTCCAGCCTCCCGGAAACGGGAATACGACCACGCCCCTTCTCGGAAGACCCCTAGACTCCACGATACCGACTACAGCTCTTCAGAACTGCTGAGTGATTTTAGATCTCTGGAGCATTTGGGAGAGGATTATGGCACTGTACGCAGTCAGAGTAATGACTTGGAATACGGATTTGAGCTCGAAAGAGAATTCAGTCCGTCTTTGCACAGCGGGAGGGGCAAACGGGGCATGGCCACTCGGGGCATGGCTAAAAGTCGAGGGGACGTGGCTGGTCCCTTCAAGAAATGGGAGGATAAAAGGTTGTCCCTGACAGAGGATCCGTTAACAGACCCTCCCAATCGCCCCAAGCCGAGAATAATGCCTTCTAATCGCCCCCAACTTAACCTGAGACCCAATCTGGCCCTCCAGAGATTTGCCCTACGTCCTGGGATTCTAGAGTCTACACAGAGTGACCAATACGAAGAGCCCAATTTGGACCTAGTCAACCCTTCTGACATCTTTTCAACTTTTGGCATTGAAATCATTAAGTGGGCTGGGTTCCAGATGATCAAGAATGACCCAGAATATTTGGAGTTGTACCGGGTGCTCTTCTCGCTGGAGACAGAGACGTGCGCCAAGACACTGGCGTCGTTCAAGTGCTCGCTGAAGCCGGAGCACAGAGAGTACTGCTTCTCCATTGTCAAGCCTTTGCAGCATGCAGCCTTGAAGACTCCCAAGGTGGACAATGAGTTCTTGAATCTGCTTCTGGAGAAGAGGGCGATGATGACAAAGAACTGCTTCTTCCAGGTCGTCAAACCGTTCGACCAGTACATGATGCGTCTGCAGGACCGCCTCCTGAAAAGCGTCACGCCCCTCCTGATGGCTTGCAATGCCTACGAGCTGAGCATCAAGACCAGTAGCTTCAGTGACCGGGCGCAGATGGCCGCTGCCTTTGAGACCACCGTTTCTCTTTGCCGCAAATCCCTGGCCCTCCTGGGACAGACCTTCGCCCTGGCGTCTGCGTTCAGACAGGAGAAAATCCTGGCGGCAATCGGTATCCTGGAGTCCGCACCTCCACCCACCTTGTACCCCAACTTTGACACCTCGGCCTTGTTTGGGAGGGAGTACATTGAGGTTTTGCAGAACTGGATGGAGAAGAGCGGCTGCCGGGTTGAGTTAAAGAAAGAGGCTCCTAGGACATCGGCTCCCTTTCAGAGGAATGTTCCGGAAACCAGGCCTAAGCTTAAGAGTAAGGAAGCCGCTCGCAAGGATTGTGGTCATGTTTGTGCATTGGAATTCAGTCTTGGCTCACTTAGCACTTCCCACTTTTTTGTTAAAACCTTTTGGAAACTAACGAGGGCAAAAATTTCCAGCACCACCACCCCCCCCCCCCCCCCCCGGCAGCAGCCCTTGAAGCGGTGGTGTAGAAATATTCTAAATAAATAATAAACAAAGGCAGCTTGTAATAAAAAATCGCAGTCTAAAAAAGCAAGCCGCTAGACATTGTCAGCATAGAACTATCCGTAAAACAGAGCAGACGATTAAAAGCCAATTCAAGGTTTTATTAAATTGTTCAGTGGAATTTTTTAACATTTTATATGTTTTTACCAGTTTGGTGTTGTGGCTGTTCTGAGAGCCAGTTTGTTGTAGTGGTGAAGTGCGCAGACTCTAATCTGGGAGAACCGGGTTTGATTCCCCACTCCTCCACTTGCACCTGGCTGGATGACCTTGGGCAAGTCGTAGTTCTGGCAAGAGCTGTTCTTGAAAAAGAGCCGTTTCTGTCAGAGCTCTCTCAGCCCCACCTACCTCCCAGGGTGTCTGTTGTGAGGAGGGGGAGGGAAAGGAGTCTGTAAGCCGCTCTGAGACTCCCTTGGGTACTGAAGGGTGGGGTATAAATCCAATCTCTTCTTCTTCTTTATGGCGTTATGCCGCTACGTACATCACCCAGAGCCCGGCATGCGCTGGGATAGGATGATTAACAAATTTAATAAATAATAATAATAAACCCCCTAACTAAAACTTTGCATAAAAAGATGAGGGGGGTTAGCCTGAAGCTGAAAAGAAAGTAAGGGAGACACCAGGTGAGCCTAAGGGAGGGAAGGGGTTCCAAAAGGGAGGGGCCACCACAGAAAATGTCCTGTCTCTAGTCGCCACCAGCCTCACCTCTGAAGGTAGGGGCACAACAAGCAGTGGTTGAGAGGCAAATCTTAACAAGTGGACTGGGTATTCATTTATTTATTTGACTTCCATTCCGCCGCCCCCCTCCCGCAAGCGGGCTCAGGGTGGATCGCGACAACAATTTTACGACCATTAAAAACAGTCACAATAATTAACTAGTTAAAACAGCTAAACAAAGCACAGTAATTTAAAACAAGGTAGCACTATAAATGCAGAAGTGTGACGGTCTCAAACAACTGGAACAGCTCGACCGTAGCCCAGAAAATGTGGATCTTCTTAGTCTGGGCCGTGGAAAGATGGGAGAGCTTCAGCGAGGAAGGCCGAATAGTTGGGCGCCCACCACCTCATCCCAAGGCCCGGCGAAACGGCTCCGTTTTACAGGCCCTGCGGGACTGTAGTAGGCCCCACAGGGCCCTGGTCTCAGATGGGAGCGTGTTCCGCCAGGCTGGAGCCAGGGCAGAAAAAGCCCTGGCCCTGGCTGAGGCTAAGCAGGTGCCCTTTGGCCTGGGGACAACCAGCAAATGCCAGCCCGCCAAGCGTAAGGCTCTCTGGGGCACATATGGGGAGAGGCGGTCCCTCAGATACATCATTCCCAGGCAACATAGGGCTCTAAAGGCTTTAAAGGTCAATACCAACACCGTGATACTGATCCGGTACTCGATTGGAAGGCAGTGCAGTTGGCTTGGCACCAGTCGAATGCACGCCTGCATAGATGTCGCAGTCAGCAGGTGCACCTCCGCATTTTTCGCTAGGCTGAGATGGTTCCTCAGCTCTCCTGGCCCCAAGCGGTTTAGGGCCTTAAAGGTAAGGACCAGCACTTTCAACTGTGCCCGGAAACAGGTGGGTAGTCAGTGCAGGAATGACAGTTTCTTTGGGGTGCTTTTTTGCACCAGTCAGTGGGATTAAGTATCTCTTGAGTTTTAGTAATGGAAAACCAATCCCAGGAAGCGTTGAAATGAAGTGTTGTAGTTAGTAGGTTGGCGCAAGCAGTAAGCTGCATTGTATTGTATAGAGAGCCCATTTGGTGTAGTCGTTAGGAGTGTGGACTTTAATCTGGGAGAGCCGGGTTTGATTCCCCACTCCTCCACATGCGGCTGGTGGTGTGACCTTGGGTCAGTCACAAGTTCTCTCAGAGCTGTTCTCTCAGGGGCACTTCTCAAGAGACCTCTCTCAGCCCCACTTACCTGACAGGGTATCTGTTATGGGGAGGGGAAGGGAAAGGAATTGTGGCAAGTGCTTCTTGTTTGCAAGAAGCTGAATGAATTTGCTGATGAAAACGTACGTCCCGTGACCATTTCTGATCGATTGCGCCTTCATTTTTCATTCACAGTCCCGCAGCGTGCTGATCGAAAGGTCGTTGAGACGATTGAAAAGCTGGTGAGCTCTCTGTTTTCTGGCTCAATGAAGGCCAGAGAGAAAGCCGAGCTGAAGGGCAAGCCAGAATACTGGTAAATCGCTTAGTTTCCTGAACTTTTTTTTGGCAGGGGGGAGCTAGGGAATTAGACAGGGCAATTCCCCCCCCCCTTGTGTATCTTTGCAGTGACCATATGAGATAGGTTAGTCGTGTGTGCAGGAGAGAGTGAGTGAGACCCGCAAACCCAGTTTTGTAGAGGGAGCCTCGTATCACAGAATGGTGATTCGAACCTAGGTCTTCCCCATTCTGAGATGGACGCTGCATACACAGTGACTCTCTGGTCAAAACATGGTCTAACTTATCCTGCGGCTTCTATTTACGAATGTTTCTGGTTTCACAACCAGTATGTTCACGTAGTTTGTCTTCTCCTGTCTCTTGTGAGGACCCTTGTGTGCGTGAAAACATATTAATGTGATCTTGTACCCCTGGCACATTTTTTATAAAAGCAGTGGGGGTACCAAGGGCTCTCTAACCTCTGTTCCCCAGTGCGGGCGGCAGTGGAGGCTCTGTCAGAGCACTTGGCACCACGTGTATCTCAATGGCTGAGATGAGTTTTCAAACCAAGATGGGCCCGGGTAGCGGGGAAAGGCAGTCTAGAAATGTTCTGAGTCGTTCAATGGGCCACGGGCTCTGCCAGGGCCTCTTTTGCTGCTCACTGTGAGAGAGATGGCGGGCTCAAAGAGCCCTTTGTCGTGGGTGAGCTGACTGGGCAGAGTGGCGCCGTGGACCACCGGCTCAGTGCTGTGGTATTCCACCTTTCTGAATTTGGGATCCACCCTTAGCCCCCTGAATGGCAGCAGGGACCCACTGAGTGGCAAGCACATGGCGTCAGGGGGGGGCAGACTTCCTAAACCTGCCCGTGCTGCAAAGGAGGAATCTATGCCGCTGAGCGACCTCGTCTTGCTGTCACGCTGCTCCTCTCAGCACCAGGGGCAAAGAGAAGCAGGTGGTGGACATGGCCCCCTTCTAAAATATAAAAGATAGCAAAAAGGTAACTCAGTGGGGGCTTGCAAGACAGTCCAGGCCGCTGTCCTTGCATGAGGCCTTAATGGCTGCTCCTTTTCCCCAACAAAACCCAGGTTTTTGCACGAAGAGGAGAGCCTGGAATACAAATATTACAAGCTGAAGCGGGCCGAAATGGAGCAGCTGATGGCCACGCCCAAGGAGGAGCCCAAGGAGGAACCAAAGGAGGTACCAAAGGAGGAGAAGACGACCCCTGAAGAACGGGCCTCAGAATACGTGAGGGTGTTGCTGTACGCGCGGAAAGTAGCCAGCATCAAGAGGAGGCTTTTCCGGAGGAAACGGCCCAGGATCCTGCAGCGAGCCGCCAGAGGCAGGAAAGCCAAGAAGGTCACTGTTGGGACCCAGACGCTCCTGTCGGCGGGGACGATGCTCAAGCAGCAGCGCCTGCACAGCCAGGGCTTGGCCACGTCCTCGGGGGTGGGCTCTCCCCCCTTGGAGGAAGCCAGCCCTCTCATTGGCGGCCAAGATCCGGAAGAGCCACCGTCCGTGGAGGAAGCTCCGGCTGCCGGGCCCTGCACGGAAGCTCCAGGGCCTGCCCAGTCCTCAGCAGACCCGTTTCCTGATGGTAGGTGATGTGCAACCGTCTTCTGTCTCTCAGTGCTGCCCACAAGCTGTAGCTTTTATTTCATGTAATTGAAAACTTTTCGATCTGCTAAAAAAAGTTACCTGCAATTAATTGAAGCAGCAGGCTTGCTTGTAGCTTTTTTAAGACAGGGTATCAGTAAAAATTAATGGGCAGAATGTCTCCTGTGCAGCCAGGGCGGTGTTTGATTTCATCTCTCTCTCTCTCTTACCGTTCAGCTTCTGCACGTTCCAGGTGGCTATTTTAAATCAAAGATAGCATAATTGCTTTAAATCCCCTCTCTTGCTCTCCCGCCTTGCAATTTATGACAGTGAAGAGCAGGCGGAAAACGCGCTTTGCGCTCAGGTTCAATCCCCAGCAACTGGGGTGCTGGATCTTAGGGAAGACTCTTCCCTGTTTGGAATCCTGAAAAGCTGCTGTCAAAAGGGCGATTCTGCATGTAGCATTTACTCCACATTTTCTCAACTGGGAGGGAAAGGCGCAGCTCAAAGCCACATTCAAATACCCTGGGCCAATGCAGTACTGACTGCAAAGTCACCCTCGAACGGCCATAAAGCGTCCATAAAGTAGCACCATAAAATCTGTTGATCAAAGGAAGTGAAAGCAGCTTGCAATGCAGAGGGGAGTTTCTGTTCCATAGAGGGAAAAGCCAATGCAGAATCAGCCCTAGTAGACAGCAGCAAGCGAGAGGGACCAGTCCTGTGCAATGCTCCCTCTAAGCTGTGGAGTCTTGTGAGCAAAAATTCTATGTTGTGAGCTACTGGCATTAAAGTTGTGAGCGAGCGATTTGGCTGCTGCCTAAACTAGTTTGCTCTGGAGCCCTCCTTCCTGAGCTAAGACAAAAATGTGTGACCAGGAGGCTAAAAAACTGTGAGCTAGCTCACACTAACTCAGCTTCGAGGGAACACTGGTTTTGTGTCAGGTTGTTTTGTATGGTCACACTTATTTGGAGAGGAACTGTGACTCAAGGGTGGGACGTGCAACAACAGCTCTAGTGAAAAGATATCAGGCAGCAAGCGTTTGAGGGGCTGTTCTGTAGCCGAGACCCTGGAGAGATGCTACCAGTCCCAGGAGAACCTGGATCTGTCCATGGCCAGGTTTGGGATAAAGCAGGAAGGCAAGTTCCAGTGTTTTCCTCCAGTTCAACCAACGGAGCTGAGTTTAGCTTTCCGTCTGGTAAGTGTTTGAAAGGACATTGAAAAATCAGTTCTAATGAACATTTGTTTTCATTAAAAGAAGAAGGAAAACCAAGCCCGTTAAAAGAAATTACAGGCACCATCTTAGAAATGTACCCCCCTGGCTGGATAGCTTGGTCAAGGCTGAACCTAGCGGGGGGGGGGGGGTTCCAGACTGTTCAAAATGAATCGCCTCTTCTTGCAGCGCTTGTTCTTGACTCTGCTCTGCCTTTGCAGTGGACGCAAAAACGATGGAAACGGCCGAGAAGCTGGCCAAGTTCGTAGCCCAGGTTGGGCCAGAGATTGAGCAGTTCAGCATTGATAATAGTGCGGACAACCCCGATCTCTGGTAAGTTTCCCCTTCCTCAAAAAGCACTTGTATAAGTGTTGTAAACCTTACTTAGCTGAGTATGTATTGCTCTTTTTATTTAAACCCATGTGCTGACCTTGGCCCCTTTCAAGAGTCCTCAGAGGGCATAGTTCTGACCTGGAGAGGGTAACCTCTTAGGTGCCTGAGCCCGGTCTTTAGGTTGAGCAGGCTAAACAATCTTAAAAGGGCTTTGCGTATGCAAACCGTTTAGCAGCAGAGTTCTGCAGGATTTATCAAAGGCTGATTACCAACCTTTAAATCTGATAATACAAACAAGGTGTGAGTTCAGCTCTTTGAGCTGTAACCAGCAAACCAGGCCGAAAGCTTGTAGAGACTTTTGTCTTTCATTGAAAAAAGAAATAGAAGAAGAGATTGGATTTATACCCCGCCCTTCACTACCTGAAGGAGTCTCAAAGCGGCCTACAATCTCCTTTCCCTTCCCCTCCCCACAGCAGACACCCTGTGAGGTAGGTGGAGCTGAGAGAGCTCTCTCAAGAACTGCCCTTGAGAGAACAGCTCTGAAAGGACTTATGACTGACCCAAGATCACACCAGCAGCTGCATGTGGAGAAGTGGGGAATCAAACCCGGTTCTCCCAGATTAGAGTCCGTGCTCCTAACCATTGCTCCAAACTGGCTCTCCTAACCACTACACCAAATAGTTCTTTTGATTATGCAAAATATATTAAGAAATACAGATGTGTGAAAATTAACCCTACAATTCCTAACACCAAGTGCTAAAGTTCTCAAAGTTCCTAACATTGCTTGATTGTATTATAGTGAGTACTAGTTTAAAAACAAAACCTGCTTTCAGGTTTTTGTCTCACGGGTTTTGGGATTATCAAAAACCCCAAGTCATGCACACCCAGATGTAGTCTTAGGGTTCAATAACGACACAACACAACAGATCTATTGAAGCTTACTGACTAGGCTTTCTGTCAGCTCTCTCTCTGTACCAAACTGTTTTCTGACAGACTTGTCAGCAGCCCTTTATTCAGAGCAGGCTCACACACATTTCTCCCCCCTTCCCTGTCCAGTGAAAATGTTACAAACAGTAAAGAGACTCTAAGCTAGAAATCACAGTGTGTTTCACAGAATGTTCTTTACTCATAGCTCATATTATCTTGCCCGAATGTTGCAAAGTTTGTGCTCTCAGTAATTCAGCAGACTCATGCAGACTCAGAAGACCTTGTGCATTTGCCAATCTCCCGGTGAGAACTTGAACTCGTCCTGGGCATGCCTCACAGGAGTTGTTCATATTCCCACACCCAGAAATCTCACCTAATCTTCTGAGACTTTTATCCATAGGAATCTGCTTTGCTCATCACAGTAGTGCATATTTACAGGGAAAAACTATCAGTCTTCCTATTAAAACTCTTCCATTGTATGATTACGACCTAGATAAGTTATTGGTTTTTCACTAAATAAGAGAGAAAGAACAGAAGTGCAAATGAGCCAGTCAGCAGGTGTATATGTTCCATCTGATAAAGCAAGGTATGAGCCAGTTTGGTGTAGTGCTTAAGTGTGCAGACTCTAATCTGGGAGAACCGGGTTTGATTCCCCACTCCTCCACTTGTACCTGGCAGGATGACCTTGGGCAAGCCGTAGTTCCGATAAGAGCTTTCCTTGAAAAAGAGCCGTTTCTGTCAAGAGCTCTCTCAGCCCCACCTAACTCACAGGGTGTCTGTTGTGAGGAGGGGAAGGGAAAGGAGTTTGTAAGCCGTTCTGAGACACCTTCAGGTAGTGAAGGGCGGGGTATAAATCCGACCTCCTCTTCTTCTTCTTCTTCTGAAGGCCAATCTTAACTCTTGACCCCTATTAAAATGCAAGTAATCTAAAATTTTCCATAACTGTTTCGATTAACTGTCAGAGGTTAAAGTAAAGCTGAAGAGCGCTTGAACTCTCAGTTAACATGCAAAAGAATGAAAACAAATCAGTGAAGTAATCCAGTGCCACTACAATACCTCCGAGCTTCCTGGGCCATGGGGGTGAAATTCTCTCCCCCGAGCAATTTCCCCAGAGGACTCAGGCTGTCCTTCCTCAGTCGCCCTTCCGCAGGCATGGGGAAGCTAAACTGCCTATCTGGGCTATCATGGGAGCCAGGATCCCAACTCAGCCAAAACCCGACTGTCTCCCAGTGCTCCCAGAGCGGCTTTTATGTGCCCCTTGTGTCCTGATTCCAGGCCGTTCACTTGTCTCCGGTGCCACTTCCGGTCCAGGCCGATCCACTTACGATTGGTCTGTTAGCTGTAGCAGTAGAAAAGAGCAGGAGTCCAGTGGCACCCTAAAACTGACAAAATTCGTACCCATCTCGATCTATTGGCTGTATAGTCAATTTCTCAGGCTGCGGCGGCTGCGGGACACCGTGCTTGTCTCCCCCACCACCTCACATTTCTAGGCAGTTTAAAAATGAAAATCTATGGATGACCCATCTTAAAACTGTCCAGTTAAAGCCATTTTAAAATGCGTTGTGAATGGATCAGTTGTTGCACATAAGAAGCTGCCTGATACTGAATCAGACCCTTGGTCCATCAAGGTCAGTAGTTACTCAGACCGGCTGTGGCTCTTCGGGATCTCGGGCAGAGGTCTTTCACATCATCCACTACTTGGTCCTTTTAACTAGAGATGCCAGGGATTGAACCTGGGACCTTCTGCATGCAAAGCAGAGGCTCTTCTAGCAAGCCGCGGCCCCATTGTATGTTCATATTTAGTAAACCACCACAACACAGCTGGGAGGGGATAACTCAGGGCTTTTTGTAGCAGGAACTCCTTTGCATATCAGACGACACACCCCTAATGTAGCCAATCCTCCAAGAGTTTACACAGCTCTCCTTACAGGGGATGCTGTAAGCTCTTGGAGGATTGGCTACATTAGGGGTGTGTTGCCTAATATGCAAAGGAATTCCTGCTACAAAAAGAGCCCTGGGCGACACACCCCTAATGTAGCCAATCCTCCAAGAGCTTACAGAGCTCTTCTTTCAGGGGCTTACTGTAAGCTCTTGGAGGATTGGCTACATTAGGGGTGTGTCGTCTGATATGCAAAGGAGCTCCTGCTACAAAAAGAGCCCTGGATAACTGAAAACCAGTGTGTGTGGTACAAGTCTTAGCCAGGGGCTGAAAACTACAAAGATTTGAAGCATCTGTGGGGAGGGAGTTCTTTTTTTCTTTCTCTTTTAATATTACCGTTTCTTTTTTTATATTACCATTTCTTTCTTCATTATATTACCATTTAAGGAGATACAAAATGCAAAAGGAGAAAGGGAAAAGTGCGAAGCATAAAACATCATTTGTTAAGCGCTTTTTAAGGACATTGCGTAATAAAAGAATATAAAACATGAAAGTATCTTAGCAAAAGAGTATCATAATAAATCAGAATATGGTAAAATAATCAGCACTTCCGCATAGTATATTTCCATGTATATTTCCGTTATTTCCTGTCTGTAGGGTTCAGTAGGAAAACATATAAACAAGAAACATAAGAAAATAATAAGAAAACATTTTTTCTTTGTACAAGGTTAATACTATCATGTAATAACTAGTAAATATTTATTTATTTATTTGCATTTTACCCTGCCCTCCCTGCAAAAAGATGAATGAATATAACTATGAGAATATATATTGTTTGGAGTATTAATCTCAGTTTCTTTATTACTCCTCTACCAGCTTTATCTAATCTATGTAGTTTGTCTGTAGTTGTGGGAAGGGAATTCTGTAACCACCACAGAGGAAGCAGAGTTCTGCCTCGAGTCTGACCGTGGCTGCATTTAAAGTAGGGCCTCTGTTCTCAGGCAAGTTGCTACAAGAGGAAGGAGGCCTTTCAGGGGCCTGAGCCTCTGAAGTTCATTACCAGCACTTCCAATTGAGTGCGAAAACAAACACGGCACGGATATAGAAGGCATTCTGGTAACCTTGAACCAGTGCGATTGGAGCACAGGTCACCAGGGCCAGATCCTGTCCAGTGGGGGCTGGTGTGCCACCTTGCACCATGGTATCATAGGATTTTAAAAGATCACTTAAGAATCTCCTATTTGTCAGACACTGCAGTCCACAGTTTAAGAGCGTCATTTACCGCCCTTCACTTTCAATCCATGCCCACTGAAGTGCTGTTTGGAAGGTATGCCAACAAACCACAGGAACAATGTGTATGCGTTTGTGGTACCTCAGTGGAAGACCAGTTTCATTACATTATGGTATGTCCTTTATATTCAGACCTAATAAGCAGATTCCTATCTGGAATCTTAAGTCAACTTTGCAACTTACCTGACAATGATAAGTTGGTTTTCCTCTTGTCGGATATGTAGCCCCTGGTTACTCACAAGGTAGCGCTTTTGCACTTGCAGCCAGAAAAGTTAGATCCAGGGCTGTTTCCAGTATTGTCTAACACAGAGCTACAAAACTGGTAGCATAACTTTTATGATTTTAAAACTTTGATTGTTTTATTTGTTCAAATGCTATACAGTCTTATTCTGGAGGCTTTGTTTTTAGAACAGTACTTTGGAACCTTAAATTTATATTGTGTATTTATATTTTGTATTGTAACGGCCAACGGCCATATACAATAAACCTGCTTACTACCTGAAACTGGTGCCAAGGTGTTAAAAGAGAAGGTGAACCTGGTAAGCAGGTGGGGTGGAGACTCAAGCGATGAGCAACTGCTCACGTTTCAGAGTGCAGCCCAGGGAGAAACAGGCAGAGGAAAGAGGCTGCAAGTTGCCCGGGTTGGAGTGTGCACAAGTGTGTCGGGCCCTAGGGCTCATCTCTAAAGCTGTCTTAAACAGGACCGTAATCTCCCCACCCCTGTAGCACTTACTCCTGACTGGCATTCATTCGCTCTCAGGCGGAAGCATCTCTTGGGTCCGTTTGAACTGAGGAGTCAGCCGGGGACCTCCTGCATGCAAAAGGGTGCAGGGTCTGGAACCTCCCAACCCCGGAACAACCAGTAACGTTTTAAAGTGTCAGGCCTCACTGAAATGCCCGCGAAGAGCATTAAAACAGTGTCATTAAAGGCTGAGCATTCCTCACAAGCCAAACATTCATAACGAGCTACAACAACCTCACCAGCAAGCCTTGGTAGCCCGGCAGTGAGCTTACGAGAGGCTGTTGCAAGAACTTCAGCTCATCACAGTTTTTCTAAGCCTACCTAAGGCACTTCAGAATCCTAAAAGAAAGGAACAAGGAACTTCTTTGCATTTCTCTGGTCACCTGGAGGGATTTCCCCCCCTTTGTCGAGTGTCTAGGGAGATAACCATTTATAATTCAGTCTGAGGATGTCAACCCAAATTTCTGAACAGTCGCTGCCTCCCAGATATCTCTTTACAGGAGGCTGGTAGACAGAAGCCCATTGTCAGTTCAGAGCAAGACAGAAGACCTTGTGAAAGCAAGAGAGGAACATTTAAGCACTGTTGGTGGGAATGCCCACACATTACTAAATTTTGGTCTAAGGTAGAAGAAGAGATTGGATTTATGCCCCGCCCTTCACTTGGAGTCTCAGAGCGGCTTACAAACGCCTTTCCCTTCCCCTCCCCACAACAGACACCCTGTGAGGTGGGTGGGGCTGAGAGAACTCTGACACAAACTGCTCTTTTAGGAACAGCTGTGCCAGAGCTTATGACTGACCCAAGGTCACATCAGCAGGTGCAAGTGGAGGAGTGGGGAATCAAACCGAGTTCTCCCAGATTAGAGTCCGCGCACTTAACCACTACACCAAACTGGCTGTAGGATTGATAGGCAAGGTCTTGGGCTGTACTATCCCACACTCTCCAGAGTTGGTCTTATTGAACTACTGGCCTAACCGTAACAGAAAGCTGATCTGGCGTCCATCTTTTTGGTAGCGGCAAAGACCTTGGATCGCCCAGAACTGGAAGTCCAAACGTATCCCATCAGTCCAACAATGGTTTATGAAACTTCGGGGCTTAGCAGTGATGGATAAGTCAGCGCTACAGATTATTGCGGCGGACTCGCCTTCTACAAACAACAATCTCATGGAAAAATGGTTCCTTTTTTTTTGAATATGCTTCGAACTCCTCTAACAATAGTTGTACTTTACCTAAAAAATACGTTGAGTTTGTATTTTATTGATAATGCTTTGGAAATTCTTGTTAGTATCTTAGCTTGTAAAGGTGATTGTTTTTAAAACCCACTTTATTTTTTTAGTCAGTGTTGTTGTTTCTAGTGTATGTCTATGTTTATGTACGGTTATAAAGTTGATGTTATTGAAAAATTAATAAAAAGTTGTTTTAAAAAAGCAAGAGAGTGTCATGGGAATTGATGCTGAGCACCACCTCTGTACACTTCTTGGAGCAGTGCCCTGATACGGCTTTCTGGAGCAGCGCCTCGAACCTGCTCCGCAAACACAAGTGGTTTCTTTCTGCAAAGCAGACTCACAAGCTAACTGACATCCCGTTTGCATCTATCTCCCAGGTTTCTGCAGGACCAAGAGAGTTCGGCCTTCAAGTTCTATCGTGCCAAAGTCTACGAGCTGTGTCCTTCCATCAGCTTCGGTTCCACGCAGGAGTCTGCTGATTCGAGCCAAAGCCCAGAACGTATGGAGAGCAACGGGGGAGAGGAGGAGGAGGAAGAGGAAGAAGACGAGTTTGAAGACGAGACCTCTCAGGCAGAAACGACAAGAGAGGATGGGGGCGAGGCAGAATCTGCCCCCGCAGACGAGGAGGCGGAAGAGATGATCACCGAGGAAGGTGCGGAAAAAACAGAAGAGGCGGGCACAGCCGAGGAAGGGCAGGCCGGATCCTCTTCTGAAGGTGCCACCCTAAAGCCGGTCGGCCAGGCAGCTTCCAGTGTCCCTCCGCAGCGCAAGAGAGTCAGCAGCAAATCCTTGAAAGTGGGCATGATCCCGGCCCAGAAGAGGGTCTGTCACATCGAAGAGCCACAAGGTAAGGGGTCCCTCTAGCCCAGGGGTGCCCAAACTGTGGCTCGGGAGCCACACGCGGCTCTTTCACGCATATTGTACAGCTCCTAGCAGGGCACCTGGGGAAGCGAAGGGGGGGGCTGCTTTTTCTCCCTCCCTTCCCCCTCCCTCCCATCTATTTGCTTTTTTGGTGTTCTCTCTCTCTCTCTCTCTCTCTTTCTTTCCACCTCTTTCATACTTTCTTTCCACTTCTCTCTCTTTCTCTCTCTCTCTTAGACAACTATCATTAGTAAACAAATATCATTGGACAAATAAATATTATCAATGTCTGTTTTGACCCCTTCTGTTTTTATTTTTGACAGTCTCTTTTAATATTAACAAAAAGCAAATTTGCATATTTTAAAATAAAAACGTGTGTAATGCTTGTTCACGTCTTGCGGCTCTCGAACATCTGATGTTTATTCTGTGTGGCTTTTTACGTTGAGCAAGTTTGGCCAGCCCCGCTCTCATCGGGTCCGGTGCTTATTGTCCCCGGTTTGGATTGACCCCTGTTTTTGGCTTGCCTTGCAGTCCACGAGCCAGTCCGGATCGCTTACGACCGACCACGTGGCTATTCTTACAAGAGGAAGAAGGTGAGGGCAGAAGTGGCTGGTTTTTTAGATCCCATTCATTCTCGGCTTGTGTACACAGGGTCTCTTTGAGCACCACAGCCATGTTGTGAGATAAGCGGTGGTCAACCTCTGTCTAGGTAGGACTGCTTCGAGTTGGGGGGTGGGGAGTAGCGGACTTTCTTGCAAAAGTATTCCTTGCATGTTGGCTAGAACCTCTCCTCGCTGACCTGCTAGTTTTCAGCAGAAAGGGATGGTTTTCTATATGGACCATTGGAACAGATGAACTTTGGAGTGATGCTCCCCGGGGGCAGCGTAGAACCTTCATTTTGATCCCCCCCCAAAAAAAAAACCCCAACCACTTAAGGTGAAAGAACTACAAAGAAACTTGAGTTAATTCCGAAGTTCAAGAGTTCAGAACAGTGGACCTCCACGGGCTGAATAGGAATATCGGGTTCTTATCTCACTACAGATGCTCATTTTCTGCCCCTCCCCCTCCTCCTCTGCTCTAGTCAAACTGGTTACATAAGAACATAAGAAGAGCCCTGCTGGATCGGACCAGTGGTCCGTCTCGTCCAGCATCCTGTCTCACACAGTGGCCAACCAATTCCTCTGGAGGGCCAACAACAGGGCAGAGAGGCCGAGGCCCTCCCTGATAAGAACATAAGAAGAGCCCTGCCGGATCAGACCAGTAGTCCATCTAGTCCAGCATCTTGTCTCACACAGTGGCCAACCAGTTCCTCTGGACAGCCAACAACAGGGCATTGAGGGCAAGGCCTTTATAAGAAAAGCCCTGGTCTGGATCAGACCAATGAGCCATCTAATCCAGCATCCTGTTTCACGCAGTGGCCAACCAGTTCCTCTGGAGGGTCAACAGCAGGGCAGAGAGGCTGAGGCCTTCCCCTGATGTTGACTGCTGGCTGTAGGGTTCAGAGGTTCAGTGCCTCTAAATGTGGAGGTTCCCCTCAGTCACCCTGGCTAGTAGCCATTGATAGACTTCTCCTCCATGAATCTATCTCATCCCCTTTTAAAGCTGTCTATGCCTGTGGCCATCACAGCATCCTCTGGCAGCGAATCCCACATTTTAATCACTCTGTGTGTAAAGTAGCCTTTCCTTTTGTCTGTCCCGAACCCTACTGCCCATCAGTTTCTTCGGATGCCCTCGAGTTCTAGCATTTTGGGAGAGGGAGACAAATTACAATATGCATTGTGTATTTTCATGCTTTACAAGCATTCTGTACAACACCGTTCCCACCTTCTGACAGGGATCAAAGGACTCAGATCTCCATTTCTAGTGTGTGGCGAAGGGAACTCTGACTCTTGACATCTCTAAGGCGCTACTGGACTCGAATCTAACTCAGTGAAACTTACATTAAAGATCAAAAATAATGGGTCGTGTCCTACCACTTTGCTCAGCCAATAGTGGTATCTCCTCTCAGTGTAAGAGCATCCTGCTTCTAAGGAAGGCGCCACCACGAGCTGCATGGAGTGGCAGGATCCAGCCCCACATATCATTAAGTACAACATAGTGAGCCTCTTAAAAGCAGGTACCGATGGCTCTTCACCAACAATTGGTCCTGGGTCAATCTGAGCAAACCCCAACCACTTAAGGTGAAAGAACTACAAAGAAACTTGAGTTAATTCCGAAGTTCAAGAGTTCAGAACAGTGGACCTCCACGGGCTGAATAGGAATATCGGGTTCTTATCTCACTACAGATGCTCATTTTCTGCCCCTCCCCCCAAGCATTCCTCCTCTGCTCGAGTCAAACTGGTTACATAAGAACATAAGAAGAGCCCTGCTGGATCGGACCAGTGGTCCGTCTCGTCCAGCATCCTGTCTCACACAGTGGCCAACCAATTCCTCTGGAGGGCCAACAACAGGGCAGAGAGGCCGAGCATAAGAAGAGCCCTGCCGGATCAGACCAGTAGTCCATCTAGTCCAGCATCTTGTCTCACACAGTGGCCAACCAGTTCCTCTGGACAGCCAGCAACAGGGCATTGAGGGCAAGGCCTTTATAAGAAAAGCCCTGGTCTGGATCAGACCAATGAGCCATCTAATCCAGCATCCTGTTTCACGCAGTGGCCAACCAGTTCCTCTGGAGGGTCAACAGCAGGGCAGAGAGGCTGAGGCCTTCCCCTGATGTTGACTGCTGGCTGTAGGGTTCAGAGGTTCAGTGCCTCTAAATGTGGAGGTTCCCCTCAGTCACCCTGGCTAGTAGCCATTGATAGACTTCTCCATGAATCTATCTGATCCCCTTTTAAAGCTGTCTATGCCTGTGGCCATCACAGCATCTTCTGGCAGTGAATCCCACATTTTAATCGCTGTGTGTGTGTAAAGTAGCCTTTCCTTTTGTCTGTCCCGAACCTACTGCCCATCAGTTTCGTTGGATGCCCTCGAGTTCTAGCATTTTGGGGGAGGGAAACAAATTACAATATGCATTGTGTATTTGCACGCTTTACAAGCATTCTTTACAACACCGTCCCCACCTTCTGACAGCAATCAAAGGACTCAGATCTCCATTACTAGTGTGTGGCGAAGGGAACTTTGACTCTTGACATCTCTAAGGCGCCACTGGACTCGAATCTAACTCAGTGAAACTTACATTAAAGATCAAAAATAATGGGTCGTGTCCTACCACTTTGCTCAGCCAATAGTGGTATCTCCTCTCAGTGTAAGAGCATCCTGCTTCTAAGGAAGGCGCCACCACGAGCTGCATGGAGTGGCAGGATCCAGCCCCACATATCATTAAGTACAACATAGTGAGCCTCTTAAAAGCAGTTACCGATGGCTCTTCGCCAACAATTGGTCCTGGGTCAATCTGAGCAGGTAGAAGCCTCCCCACCAGTGCTCTCTCTAATCTGCTTTGTGGGGAGGGCAGGGTATAAATTTGATAATAAATAAATATATCTGAGAGAATCGGGTTTGATTCCCCATGCTTCTGCATGCAGCTGCTGGTGTGACCTTGGGTCAGTCACAAGTTCCCTCAGAGCAGCTCTCTCAGCCCGACCTACCTCATAGGCAATGCTCCCTCTAAGCTGTGGGGTCCTGTGAGCAAAAATTCCACTTTGTGAGCTGCTGGCATTAAAGTGGTGAGCGAGCGATTTGGCTGCTGCGTAAATCAGTTTGCTCTGGAGCCAGAGCTAAGGAAAAAATGCGTGAGCCGGAGGCTAAAAAAACCGTGAGCTAGCTCACTCTAACTCAGCTTAGAGGGAACACTGCTCCCCGCATGATTTCCCATCACCCCAGAAGGCACTGTCAAGGGCACATGACCTTTATGTTAAATGGTTGAGGTTTTCCCCTGACCCGCAGACTGTTTTTCTAGATTCCCCACCCCCCCTTCTCCTTTCCTGCATTATCCTGAGTATTAGTGCCTGCATCTCTTCTTTTTGATCAGTGGTCCACACGGTGGCAAACAGTTGTATGAAAATGTACATGTCCTATTAAACACAGACACAATCGTGAGTGTGAGGACCTGATCAGCTACCCAGTGCCTTCCTAGCGGCAGCCTTTTTTCAGAACCCCCCCCCCACACACACACACACACAAGGACTGGTGAGACCCAGCCCAGTGTTGATGCCACTCAGATCTGCCTCCCGAGTTCTTGCAGTTCGCCATCTCAGTGGAAAACTAGGTCAGGGAGAAGGAGGTGATCCCAGGAAACTCCTGGAGCCATTTGCAATTTGACTGGGGGGGGGGGGCACAGCAGGGAATGCATTTGGTGCTCTAATGGAAGAGATGACGAGGTTGGACTTATACCCCACCCTTTCCTACCCGAAGGTGTCTCAGAGCGGCTTACAAACTCCTTTCCCTTCCCCTCCCCTGTGAGGTGGGTGGGGCTGAGAGAGCTCTTTCGAGGACTGCCCTTGACAGAACAGCTCTGAGAGAACTTGTGACTGACCCAAGGTCACACCAGCAACTGCATGTCGAGGAGTGTGGAATCAAACTCGGTTCTCCCAGATTAGAGACTGAAGAATTATTCCTGGCTGTTTCTTTCCTCCCTCCCTCCCTGAATCAACCTAATTTTTTTGCAGCAGAAAAGAAAGCTTCCATAGAAACTTGTTTTATGAGCCCCGGAATTTATAGGTGCAGGGTCCAGGGAGAAGATGATGAAGAAGAGATTGGATTTATACCCCGCCCTTCACTTGGAGTCTCAGAGCGGCTTACAAACTCCTTTCCAAAGGCGGGCTCAGGGTGACATACACAACATGGAAATACAATTAAAACATATATAAGCATATAAACATATAGTATAAATAACAATAAATTAAAACACAGTTAAAATGCTGGGACATTATCAGCTACTTATGGCAGCTTGTCTGTTAAAACAGCAGGTTGCAGGAAATGCCTTGTTAATTACCCTATTTCAGGCATGTCCAACTTCGAACAGGTAGTGATCTATTTTTTCCAGCCAAAAGTGCCGGTAATCTACCACCATGAAAATAAAGTTTCAAATTAGTTTCAAATTAGATTTTAACCCACTAAAGCTGGGTTCCATCGCGCGTGCGCCCCCCCATTTATAATGCACCTTTTGTCATTTACTGGTAAGCAAAATAAGCAAAACAAAACAGAGAGACAAAGATACAGAAAGAACCACCAAACAATCATCAAAAAAACCCAAACACCTGTCCAGCAAACCAGGAGACCAAGTGGGGCTGGTGATCTACCTCTGACCCCTCCGCGATCTACTGGTAGATTGTGATCTTACCTGTTGGACATACCTGGTATAGAGTATACCCAATGGTTCCTGCATGACATGGATGGCCTTTCCCCCAGATTCCACACAGTCTGGAGCGGCTCCCCAGGCCAGCGGGTTATTCGCCAAGCTGCACAGGAAGTCCTGGAGCGTCACCGTAGCTGGCCAGCAGGTGCCTCCTTGCCAGTGCAAAGTGGGACGGAAAAGGTTGGGACTTCCCAGGAGGGTGTAGCTGCTGAAGCCAGATGCCTTGGAGAGGTGGGCCAGGTGCTGCCGAGGAAATGGCCGGTGTTTGCCGCAGCCAGTGGCAGCTCCACACCCAGTTCCCTGGCAAAAGGGACACCGGATGCGGCAGCATCCTTGGCAGCCTTTATCAGCACCCGAGGCCTGGATGTTAGTAAAGGCAGGCCCTCTGAGGCATACAGGTGGGCTTTCCCACGGGTGTCATGGGCCCCGGGGCTTCAACGATGCCTTGTTCTTTCAAAATACGTTCTATTGCAGTTTCGCCGTCCTATACGGAGTACCTATCTACTGTTCAGTATGATCATAACTCAAATATAAAAAGCACAATAAAATTCAAACATCAGCGGGCATGAAATGGACGGTAAAGCCGAAATCTTCATAAGGAAATTTACCTATATCTTTTGTAGAACCTAATGGCGATTAACCAAGATATTCCATGCCATTAAACAAAATAAGTAGCAGTAAAAAAAACTTTACCGTAAGGATGGGTCATTAATTATATTAGGGGTGGTTTCTTGTGAAGCGAGATATTCTAGAATAGGAAACCAGGCAGCCGAGAAAGTGGAAGAGGAGAGAGGACATTGGAATTGTTCATAGAAACTGCTGGACCTCCTGAAGGCACCTGGTATTTTTGGCCACTGTGTGTTGGAGTGGATGGGCCATTGGCCTGATCCGGCATTGGCTTCTGTTATGCTCTTACTGTCAAAGAGCTTGGCCATTATGTAGGAACTCCATAGTTTTTTATGTGGGAGGTTTTAGTCAGGAGGTTCATCCAATTTCCATCTAGTTGCCACCAGTGTTCCCTCTAAGCTGAGTTAGCGTGAGCTAGCTCACAGTTTTTTAGCCTCCGGCTCACACATTTTTGTCTTCGCTCAGGAAGGAGGGCTCCAGAGCAAATGAATGAATTTATGCAGTAGCCAAATCGCTGACTCACAGCTTTAATGCCAGTAGTGCACCAGGTAGAGTTCTTGCTCACAAGATTTCACGGCTTAGAGGGAGCATCGGTTTCCACTGCTATTCTAGCCGCTGAGAGAAGTTGTCTTGTTGTAACTGTGAATCCCATATTATGTGTTATGCTCCGGGAATGCCGTTGCGGTTGCACCGTGATCGTTGCAGCACCTGGCCCTGCTCCTCCCAGGCCTTCCCGCGTCACCATTTTAGGGGCGGGCTCAAGGGTCCCGCCACAAAAATGAACTGATCTCTTTGCCTCTCCCTCCCCTTCTCTTGCTGGGCAGTATCCGCAGAAGACCAAGGACATGGAGTTCACGCAGAGGAAACTGACGCAGAGGAATATTGGGTTCCAGATGCTCAAGAAAATGGGCTGGCAGGAGGGACGCGGCCTCGGGTCGCACGGCGAAGGCATCAGGGAGCCAATCAAAGTGTATGTAGGAAGACCGGGGGAAGGGGGTGAGTGTGAGAGAGCGTGTGAAAGTGGGACAGAGGACATTCAGGGACCCAACTCCTAATGGCGACTCTTTCGTACTGTGAAAGACTATTCAGGTTCATTTCATACACGAAACTCACCACAAGCTTTTTTTTTTAAAGATTAAACACAATCTGTGGAGGATCGGTCTGTTAACGAAGGTTGGCTATGATAGCCGAATAGAACCTCTCTGCTTCAGAGAGACTCTTGTCTCTGAATACCGCATGCAATAACACATGGCCATCGCCTTTCCACAGTCTCACGTTCCCTTTGCCAGCAGCCTCCATTCCCTTTCTTTTTAATTTTAAAAAAAAATCACCAAAACCTTGGCTTTTGAAAACAAATTAAGCTACACTGTGTAGTCAAACATCTCTAACTTGTATGACTTCTACTAGAGACAGGGTCCGGAGGCAGTTTTTCTCCAGGCCAGTTTGGCCGAGAATCCTGGAGGTTTTTTGTCGTCATCTAGGCATGGAAGAGGGGTCACTGGGGGGTGGGGGGTGGGTATTTGTGCATTTCCTGTATTGTGCAGGGGGTTGGACTAGATGACCCTGGAGGTCCCTTCCAACTCTATGATTCTACCTGCGTGGCTTGTTTTCCTTGCCTGGATTTCCAGAACGGTGAGTATCTTTTGCCTCCATTGGCTCCTTTGGGAGTTCACACCCATTTTGCCCCCAACTTCTGGCCCAGTCAAGTGAGTTTTGCCTCTGTTCATTGTTTCTTCTCTAATATGCCAATCAACCGCCTCAGGGCTGAATTTCACAAGTCTAAAATTCCTTTGGACGATGCGCCTCCCACCGGCATCCCCCACGGAACAGTTCTCAGGCAACAATTTTCTTTACAGTCGATCAGAAATCCTGTCGCTCCAAACCTGTGTGCTGAAAATGAAAGATTTCCCCCCCCCCTTTTAATCATTCTTTCAGAACTCTTGAAGATGGCAAGCGTTTAAACTCAGTTCTTCCGACACCTCCGCTTCCCATGGAAAAGCTCCCTGGTTTATTCCACGGCATCTCTAATTTTAAAAAGATCTCTGGTTTCGCAGAGATGGTGCCTGACCATGGAGAGCTGCTGCCAGTTAAATAGACCGATGGAGATCCAGTTTGGTATAAAGCCATTTTGTGTGATGAGGGGAGATCCCACAGCTCAGCAGCAGAAATGATGCCTAATGCAGAAGATGCACAGTTCAGTCCCCAGTTCAAGGGGTCTCGGGTGGCTGCAGTGGGAAAGCCCCCCCCTCCAGAAAGCTCAGTGAAGGCACATCTGGCTTCTGAACTGTATTGCTTAGGAACTGCAGCAATCCTTCCCAGAGGGCCATTACCAATGGACGCACTTCCTGCGAGCGACATCTGGATGACCGCACCCAGTTTCCTCTTACCAGTGCTAGAGAATTTGCCTTGTTCTAGGCTCTCGCTGGCACCCACCCTGAATGGAGCCTGTTTCCTAGAATCACTAGGGAAAGGATTAGCCAAGACCAACTCAAGGTGGAAACGGTTCCCCATTCTAGTGTCCCTAGCCCATCTGGATGAGCTTTGTCTCTGCTGGAAAAACAATTGAAGCAGGCAATGCCGGACCAGTGATAAAAGGTGGTAGCTTCTTTCACACCCTCTTTCCCCTGCCGTTTTTGTCTCGTTGGCGCCTCGCACCCGCTTGCCTCATTAATTTCCCAGTGTTGTCTTTTGAGGGAGGTTTCCCTACGAGAAGATAGCATTCAGAATTCAAATCCAGGGATCTCTGTTTGGCTGACATGAGATCTTGAATAAAACGCTGCCCTTGTGACGATCCCAGAACGGTGGCATCGTCTAACTGCTGTTGTGTGAAGCCAGTCGGCGTTCCTGGCCATGGGGCCCATGGAAGGAGCAGGCCTGAAACAGAAAGCCACGCAGCCTTCGTAGAAACTGGGCTGCTTGCAGAGTCAGATGATGTCTGGATTCACTGTACTCCTGCTCCCTGCTGTACGGCGCCCCTGAGCTTTCCCAGCCCATCTGTCCAGGCAACTGTCCTGTACTTGAGCTCTGTGTCGTCGTCCTTCCGGACTTCTCTCGTTGAATTTATCCCTTCTCCTTTGCCCAGTCGTTCCCCTGGGCTTACGTGCCATTTCTGCGGCTCTGATTGTTGCCTGAGATTTGGTTTCCTGTCCCAAGCTGCATGTTGTTGAGTCGCACAGTCGCATCCGACTCTTCGCGACCCCATGGAGCACATCACGCCAGGCCCTCCTGTTGTGCTCCAAAGTTTGCTTCATTTCATGTTCGTTGCATCGATAACACTGTCTACCCATCTCATCCTTTGCCGTCCCCGTCTTCTTTGACCTTCAGTCTTTCCCAGCATCAGGGTCTTCTCCAGTGAGTGCTTCCTTCTCGTTTGGTGGCCAAAGCTTCAGTATCTGGCCTTCCAGGGAACAGTCGGGGTGGATCTCTTTTAGGATTGACTGATCTCCTTGCAGTCCAAGGGACTCGCGAGAGTCTTCTCCAGCACCATAATTCAAAAGAATCTATTCTTTGACGCTTGGCCTTCCTTATAGTCCAACTCTCGCATCCGTACATGACTACTGGGAATACCATCGCTTTGACCATACGGACTTTTGTTGGCAGGGTGATGTCTCTACTTTTTATTATGCTGTCTAAGTTTGCCATTGCTTTCCTCCCAACCTGCATAGACGCTCCCAAAAAAGACCTACGTCACTGGGAGCAATCCTAAGCAGAAGTAAGGCCCAAGTTATTCAGTGGGCTTACTTTCAGGACAGTGTCGTGCTAGATGCTGACATCTTTTGCTCTGTTTGTTGCTCAGTGGCAGAACATCTGCTTTGCATGCAGAAGGCACCAGGTTCAGTCCCCGGCATCTCCACCTAAAAGGTACAAAGACATAAAGAAAGATCATTTAAGAGCTGCATACCTGGTAAATATTACCGCATACAAGCTTAGAACAGCATCTATAGCATTGCGTTTCCAGATTATGCCAACAGAATTACTCCTGGGATGATACTTAAAAATACCCCAGGAACAACATGTTTGTATCTGTAAAACTTCTGTGGAGGATCTTTTTCATTATGTCATTGGTCTGCCCATTGCACTGGGAACCGAGATTTAAATTCTTGACTGCAGTAACAGATCAATTGCAAAATTTTTCTGACACCGATAAATTAATATTTCTGCTGCCAGACACAGACCCTACGGTTTCCTATAGGGTAGCACTCTTCGCCTTAGCGGCTAGTAAAATCAGGACCAAGAACACAGGAAAATGAAATGAAATTGAACTGTAAAACGGCAGTATGTATGTGTTTCTGGAGACGGGTATCTATATTTAAGATTTTAATTCATTTAAATACCGAATGTGGAGGTTTTAACGCTTATTATATTTTAAATCTAACTCAAATTCCTGTGCCGTAAATTGTCTTAATTTGCATATTGTTTAAATTTTAAATTGTAATGGTCATTGGCTATACAATAAATTTTACTACTACTATGAAAAGGATCGGGTAGGAGGTGGTGCAGAAGACCTCAGTTTGAGACCCTTGGGAGCACCACCGCTGGTCCGCGTTGACAGTGTTGACTTTGATGGACCAGAGGTCTGATTCAGTATAAGGCAGCTTCGAATGTCAGCAGCTTAAAGGGCCCCTTGGAGAAGAAACGGGGGGTGGGGTGGGGCAAGGTCCCAAGCTGTCTGGCAACCTCCAAATGGCACCTTTGCCCTGTCTTTATGCTCCTTTGTTCTACAACTTCAGTATCATCAGCCGAACTTAAAGCGCACGCTGTCATTGATGGTTTAGGGCTTATAAAGTGGAAATACCGAAAGCCCAGTTTCCCCAGCTGCAGTACAGACCGACGAGGGATTGGGCACGCTTTGCATCCACTCGGTACCAGGTTTAGATTCCTAGCCGCTGATCTGTTCGGGGTCTCTTCCTGTCGATATGCAGTCTGCCATTCCGCCCGGAAGCTTCCGGCAGCTCGTTCAGGACAAGATTTGTATTGGGGAAGTAGCTAAGCAAAGCAGCCGTAATAACACCTTAAGAAGCTCCCTTGAAGATTCACTACTGTGCGAAAGCAGCTCGATGTCGGTCCCGCTTTTATCTTTTCCCCCACGAACTAGAGTTGGTGTTGGTAGTCCCAGAGTTGGAAAGGTTCTTAAGGCCCTGCAGTCCAGCTCCCTACAAGAAGCACAAGTCCAGAGCACTCCCTACAGATGGCTTTCCAGCAGCTTCTTGAAGACTTCCTGTGAAGGAGGGGCCCACTGTACCCTCCCGCCAGAAGAGAGCCAGCGTGGTGTAGTGGTTGACGACAGCAGACTTGTAATCTGGAGAACCGGGTTTGATTCCCCCCTCCTCCACATGAAGCCTGCTGGGTGACCTTGGGCCAGTCACAGTTCTCTGGGAACACTCTCGGCCCCACCTACCTCACAAGGTGTCTGTTGTAGGGCACGGAAGGGAATGCTGCTTTGAGACTCTTTTAAGGTAGAGAAAAGTGGGGTGTGAAAGCCAACTCTTCTTCTTCTTCTTCTTTGTAACCCACTCCCATAACTGGCTTTATCATTAGGAAGTTTCTCCTGCTTTTCCACTGAAATTTACTCTTAGCTAACTGAATACCTGTCAGATCTGTTCTTGTTCTCTGGGGCAGCGGAGAACTCTCCTTTATTTTATTTACTGTTCCCTGCCCTCTTTCATGCAACTGCTCTTCAAGATGATCAAAGAGCAGAGTGTAACCAGTGCCCCCTTCTCACTCTTCTCCGCTCCCGGTTAAATGTACCCCATTGCTTCAACCTTCCCACACTTCCAGACCCCGACTGTCTTCTCGGCCTTCCTCCGAACCCGTTCTAGATTGTCCGCATCTTAAAGGGCGGTGCCCGGAAATGGCCACAGCGCTCCAGACGAGCTCTGCCTCGCGCGGAGGAGAACGGAACTGTTACTTCTCGTGCTTCTGTTAACATGGCCTTTACACGGACTGATCGTGCTGCCACCTGTCTGGTTTAGGTGGTGCCCAGCTGCAGTCTCGAGACCCTTTTTGTGTGTTCTGCCGCAGCCCGTCATTTTCTCCCTCCGTGCCGAGCTTCGCCTTTCTCTTTGAATTTCGTTTTGTTCGCCTCGGGCACATTGTTCCAACCTACAGTCCGTCGTGCATCTTATTGTTTTATCCTCAGAGGCGGTTGCTGTACCGACCAGTGTTGTGGTAGTTGCAAATCGGCTATGGATTCCCCCCCCCCCCTTCATTCAAGACCTTTGATAAGAACGCCAGTGTGCCAGTCTGAGGACAGAGTCGTTGTCGTCTCCCCCGACCGCCCTCCAGATTCATGAAGTGCCGTAGACGAGCGCTCTTTGACCCCGGTTCTCTGGCCGGCTATGAATCCACCGGCCAGTACTGTCAGCTGGAGGGGTGAGGGCAGGGGCTGTCAAGTCGCCGCCGACTTACGGCGATTCCACAGGGCTTTCAAGGCAAGAGACGTTCAGAGGTGGTGTGCCGTCGCCTGCCTCTGCACAGACGCCCTGGTATTCCTCTGTGACCTCCCTTCCAAATACTGACCAAGGCCGGACCTGCCGAGCTTCCAAGATCTGACAAGGCGGGGCTAGCCTGGGCCGTCCAGGTCAGGTCACTGTCAGCAAGCTGCCAATGTTTTGTTTTCATTCTGTATATGTGTGTGCGCTTGCCTCTTTCACTGTAGAATCGTAGATGCGCATGTCTATGTAGCTCGCCGAAACAATTATCTAGCTCAAGGCCACAGGTGGATGCAGAGCTTGTTAGTGTGGAGAAGCTCTCACTAAACACCGTGAGAAGAAGATAACGTGAGAGGCTTGGGACCGTTAGTTCTCAGGCTCAAGGGCACGCACGGGAACCCCCGCAATTGGCCCATAGTAGTTTGAATGTTTATTATATGCTTTGCCATTGCTTTTACTCCTCATTCTGAACAGTGATCCTGTTATGCACCTTCAGCTCTAATAAAGTTACCTTTTCTTCAAAAGCGTGCTTATTACGATGCAAGGAGGAGTCTGACAGTCACGTAGCCTGCTTTTAATCAGCATTTCCCGGGGTCACGTGCCTTGCTGAAATCTGGGTCTGTTTCATCCATCTGATTCTTTGTCAGTGCCATTACAGCGCCACTTAACTGACGGTGGGAAGTGCTGTCGAATTGCACCCAATTTACGTCTACCTCGTAGGGTTTTCGAGGCAAGAGTTAAGAACAGAGGTGGTTTGCAATTGCCTGCCTCTGCAGGTTGGTCCTGGACTTCCTGCCTGGTCTCCCTTCCAAGGACTAGCCGGCGCTAACCCATAAGAACATAAGAGAAGCCAATGTTGGATCGGGCCAATGGCCCATCCGGTCCAACTGGCCAAAAATACCAGGTGCCATCAGGAGGTCCACCAGTGGGGCCAGGACACTAGAAGCCCTCCCACTGTTGCCCCCCCCAAGCACCAAGAATACCGAGCATCACTTGCCCCAGACTGAGAGTTCCTATCTATACCTTGTGGCTAAGAGCCACTGATGGACCCCTGCTCCATATCTTTATCCAATTCCCTCTTGAAGCTGTCCCTACTTGTAGCTGCCGCCAGCTCCTGTGGCAGTGAATTCCATCTGTCAATCACTCTTTGGGTGAAGAAGGACTTCCTTTTATCTGTTCTAACCCGACTGCTCAGCAACATCGTTTCTTGAGACTTGTCAAGCCACCTTGCTGCAAAACACAGTGGATCGTTCTAGCACTGACTTCTTCAGTCATTCGGGCCCAAAGGGATTTCCCAGTGACGATCCTCACGGAGCACATTTGATCGTGCTCATGGGAAGGTTCCGTCTACACTGGCTGGGAGGGGGGGAATTCCATGCAATTTGAGAATTCTCCCCTCAATTTTCCCCCCCAAACCTCCCCGCCATCTTTCGCTTATCTCATGAAGCCTGGGGCCTGTAATCACGATGCCCCTGTCTGGGGTTGGGGTAAAGAGCTGCAGAGAAGCAGGAAACACCCCCCCCCCCATTAAGCCGCCCCTTTTTGGAAACAGGACATCCGGTAAGACATGGTACTAATTCTCCATTTTGCTTCCATAGGGGCTCCACCTCAGCAGGGGAGGGCTTGGGTGTTGCTGGGGACGAGAAGAAGGAAGACACATTTGACACCTTTCGCCAGCGAATGATAAATATGTACAATCTGAAGAGAGGCTGTAAATAGGTAGGTGTATGGCTAAGCTGTTTTCCCCGAGTGTGAAATTCTTGCAAGCATGAAGGGGGAAAAGTTCTGATCTTCTGGTTTTTTTCACGTTTACCATTTGCCCAGGTAGACAAGGCTAAGCCCCTGCCCGGGCACCGTCCGTGGCTTTTAACAGTGTGGGAGGGGCAGTGTGATAAAAAAAATTAAGCCCAAATGATCTTTGAACCAAAGAATAAGATTGTTGGGTTACCTTGCTGCGGTTTTTTCATATGCCCGTTCCTTAAGAAACGTTGCCATTTTTTAATTCTTTTTTTACCGTATGTCTCATTTGGACGAGCAGGGCCATCCGCAAAGTTCAGTCCCGAGCATCTTAACAGTCAGACGTTCTTTGGATAAAGAAACAGCTGGCATGCTTTTCTCTCTTGTCAGGAATGTCCTGTGTCTATTCTGGACAGGATGAAAAAAACGACCCTCTTCAGTGGTGAAAATTGTGTTTCTCTCCACCCTCCGAGACTCGGAAGCTCAGCTTTTCCATCCTTTTAACATTTTCTTTCGAATCCCTTCGCCTCGGCAACAACTGCTCTCTACGATTGGAAGCAGCAAGTTCTGTTACCTTTAATCCATCCATTGATCATATTTGTGTCCTCTCCCCCCCACCTCCCAAAAAAGAAAAGAAATGGCATGCTAGAACTTAGATTTTAACAAGTAGGGCTTCTAGGAATTCCACCTTTATTCCGGCATCTTCCTTAACTCAGCAGCTTGGAAGTTTGAGATGGATTTCTGCTATTTTTCAACCAGCCTTTGGCCGCACCCTCCCCAAAGGAATGTCGACATACCACACAGAAAGCTATATTTGGGCCTGTGAGCCCCACTGGCGGCAGCGCACTTGAGGGGGTGTGGAATTTGCACTTCTGTGTTGTGCATCTCACGAATTCATGGCTAGCAGTTGGCTGACGCGCCTCTCCATTCCCTCCCCACCTTGATACTTAGGCTGGACATTGCTTTAATGTCCTTGCAAAGAGGACTTCCCTTTGGAGCCGAGCATCTTGGAACACTGAGGCATCCAGAGGGGGAAATTGTTTTTTAGCGTTGGAACTCTCTGGTTTTAACGATGGTTTTAAACCCACGTCCCAACCAAGTGATATTATCTGGACTTCCCCAGTTTTTGCTTTCCGGTAACTATCTGCAAAAGAGGTCTTCATCTTTTGTCGAATGGGCAGACTAATATCTTTTTTTTTTAATTTTCCCCGTTAGAAAACAGCGAACGTTCTTTTTCCAGTAGCTGCCCATTTTTTGTGTGTGAGTATTGTGATCTGCCTAACTTTTTTCGTCCACAATTATTTGGGGTGTGACTTGCTGCACGGCTCTGGTTTGGAGCGTTTCTGGCTGTTTGCTTGTAACAGCTTAAGAGTTAAACAGCCCATGATAGAGGACAGTGATTTTTTTTTTTTGAGCTTCATGCTGTCCTGTGAATCTGGTGTGATTCTTCGCCTGTCAGGGGACTTCAGGAGTAGTGACCTGAACTGCCTGCTTCATCCTAACTCGAGTTGACGTTACTGATGCTACAGATGTGCTGCACCAGCCTGTCGACGCTAATTGTGCCGATCGGGGGCTTCCTTGAAGTCCAGCCATTTCACAGTTACGATTTTCCAGTATGGCTCCTTTGTTTTTCCAGGTGTTTGGTTCGTTTTCTTGTCTTTGCATAATTCTGCCTTTGCTTTTGAAAAAACAAAACGGGGTTCTATCCACCCTGGCCTTGTTGTCAAATAACGATTTTGTTCTGACCTTCCGTAAGTCCAAGTGGCTTTTCTAACCATAAATTGGTCTCAAAACATCTGGAGAACTTCACAAGCCTCTACCGTTTGAAATCATAGGGGCGTTGGAGGGGTTTTACTTCACCATCTGAGTCCCCCGTTCGTTCACATTGCTGGAAGCTTCCTCTCAATTTGAGAACTTGCTTTAAAAAAAAAAAAATCACATGTCCAAGTATGTCCTCTGGTGGCTGTGACCCCTTGATCTAATTAGTTCCGGTCAGCGTTCCACACATTTTGTGGGGCAAGGCCCAAGTGCCCATTTGGTGGGGTGCATCAGCATAAAACTTGACATATCCAGCCCGGGGAACTAGCCTTTTCTTACCCCTGTTTTTGGTGAGGTAGAATGGCGACTGTCCGTCCCGGTCTGAGCTTGCGTCAGAACTGCTTTGAGCAGATAACACGCTCCGGAAGTGTTGAAAGCGAACAATGCTTCTCGCAGGGGGAGGGTTGGCATGGAGAACCTTTCAGTCTCCAGTCCCTCCCAGACAATGATGGTCCTGAGGACCAGTCTTTCTCATTCAACAATTTGGTGTAGGACAGAGGTATCGGAGCAACCCTGGTGTTTTAAGATTCTAGTGTTGCTCTCCAGTCTGACCCACTTTTTGATCTTCTGTTATTTGAGATCCTTTTGGTGGGTTTTTGCACCCTGCTTTTAACAGGTGACTTTACATTGGAACATCTGAATGCAATTGCAAGTATTAAAACATGCCGCCCGATGGATAGCCTTGTCGGTTCACTTGTTTTTTCTTATTTCAGCTTCCCAGGCGCACTCTGTCACAAAGACCACGAGCTTCCGAGACTGTGTTTTAACTTCTGCTAGGAGGGAGTCTTTCTCCCCGCTCGAGACCCTTTTTTTTTTTTGGTTTAGAATGTTGCCTTTTTAGTGCTTCTTCGGTAAGAGTTTTCCCCCCCTTCCTGTAGCACTGAACAGTATTGACACGTAATAAATAGAAGGTCTGTTAAGCGACGGCTGACGTTTTCCTGCTTCAAAATGTTTGAACCGCATGTAATTCTTTTCAAAGAGGCTTACAATAAACGTGGATAAAAATGGAACTAGTTTCCCAGCCTGTTTCCAGTTTCATGTGTATGGCTGTCGGGTTCTTGTTCATTTATTTTTGTTTTATTATTATTATTATTTTTCATAACACACAAACATACAAACACAAATGGAGGCATTTCATTCAATGCGCAAATTACATCTGTTACAAATTCACCCGCCTATTTGTTATAGCTTATATATTTCACCTTATATTATGAAAACAGTAGTTAGAATTCTGCATATCTTAGCAGATTAATACTTTATGTGTCCTCAGCAAGTTTTAATACTTCATAATTTATTTATATTGATCTTCATACCAGTTGTAGAATCTTGACCAGGTATTTTCAAATGTAATTTCCAGTTGACCTTTCAAAATTAAGAGTCAATTTATAAATTTCCGCTGTTTCCAACATTTTACTTATAATTTCTTATTTTGTGGGTATTTGTATACATCTCCAATATTTAGCATATCATATTCTCGCAGTTGTAACAATATACAATATAAGATATAGGTCTTTTTTTTTTTTTTACGATTTTCAGGTAGTATGCTTAACACAACTCTGGTATCAAAGGTATAGAACAGGCATGTCCAACTTCGAACAGGTAGTGATCTATTTTTTCCGGCCAAAAGTGCCGGTGATCTACCACCATGAAAATAAAGTTTCAAATTAGTTCCAAATTAGATTTTAAACCACTAAAGTTGGGTTCCACCGCGCGTGCCCCCCCCCAAATTTATAATGCACCTTCTGTCATTTACTGGTAAGCAAAAACAAAACAGAGAGACCACCAGTACCACCAAACAATCATCAAAAAACCCCAAACACCTGTCCAGCAAACCAGGAGACCAAGTGGGGCTGGTGATCTACCTCTGATCCCTCCGCAATCTACTGGTAGATCGCGATCTACCTGTTGGACATACCTGGTATAGAACGTTTTAAGGTTCTTGTTCATTTTATAAGAAGACTTCACCACGACGGATGCAGCCTAACCCAGTGTTTCGTGTCTTGGTTTCTTCTAACTTTAATGGCCTCACAGCAGTGCCAGCATCAACATACTCTGAGGGGTGGGACAGCTATCAGGGCTTCTGTGGCTTCTGACGGCCCATATGCTGCTGTCTCTGTACTCAGGTGTACCCTTCAATCCCCGCACTCCCGCCCTTCCACTGCTTGCTTCTGAGTCCTTTGTCTCCGTGCTCCCAGCTGCATACCCTACCCAGGGGTGTCAAACATGTGGCCCAGGGGCCGGATCAGGCCCCAGGAGGGCTTCTATCAGGCCCGCAGTGGAACTGGCTGTCTTCTGCTTCTTCCAGTTCTGCTGCTGCTGCTGCGTCATCATAGGTTTGCAGCTTAGATACACACCTGAACAGCATACTCAAGATTGCAACAGCACACATTTTGATGCAGCCATTCAGAACAAGAAGTGTCATCAGACGCTGTTAAATAAACAAAATATTGCAGGAGTGCTAATGTTTTAAGCATGTTCTTATTTTAAGTAAAAAAAAAAACCCTTTGTGTGTGTGTCCTTTATAAAGTTTATATCTTTGCTACCTGGGATTACATTTTATGACACACGCGGCCCGGCCTGACGAGGTCTCGTTTATGTCAGATCCGGCCCTCATAACAAACGAGTTCGACACCCCTGCCCTACCCAGTGCTGCTGGAGAAGGGCATGTGTGTGGTGCAGAGAGCACCATTGTTCATCGTGGCTATGGCCGTGGCACCCAGCGCCACAGGAGAAGTGGCATGCTGGCATTGTGGGTAGCCATGACTGCAGGGGGTGGAAGAGCTTGTGAGTGGCTAGATGAAGGACACACAGGTGGACAAGAGGCATATGGGTGAGAGAGGGGCTCGTGAGCACTCTGCCCGGGGCCCCCCCTCAAACCGTCTCTCAGCATGCCAATATTATTAAAAGTGATGCCTGGGAGAAAAAGATCTTCAACCAGAACTATCTAACAAGTTCTGTATGCAGATGATAAAGTTGTTCATTGCTCAGACACACACTGGCCCTTAGAAAATTGTCAACTCAACTTGGTCTATATTGTGAGAGGAATTTACGCTGGGTAAACTTTGCCAGGGGCCATGGTGGCTCAGAGGTTAAGACACTGTGTTGCAGACCGGAAGGTCTGTAGTTCGAGACTCTAGTGCCGCGTGGCGGAGTGAGCTCCCGTCTCCGGCCCCAGCTCCTGCCGACCCAGCGGTTCGAAAGCAAGAAATTGCAAGCGGATAAATAGGTACCGCTGACTGCAGTGGGAAGGTAACAGCGTTCCGTGCACCTCATCATTTAGTCACGCCGGCCACATGATCACGGAAACGTCTTCGGACAGCACTGGCTCTTCAGCTTGGAAACGGAGATGAGCACCGCCCTCTAGGGTTGGTTTCGACTGCCTTTCGAGCAAGGGAAACCTTTATCTTAAACTATGCAAAAACAAAGGTTATGGTCTTCAGCAAGCGGATACAGCGACACACACGCACCGCAAATGGCAGCTTATTAGAACGGGTGACTTCCTTTAAATATCTAGGGATTATCTTTTATCAGTCAGGATCTTGGACAACACACATTGTATTTACTAGACAGAAACTTAATAGAGTACTATCTTGATTATACAGATATTATAGAACACGAGGTGGCTCATTGGTATCCCTCTAGGAATTTTAAAATCTAAATTACTCAAATGTACAGTGCTCCAGCCTGTGGATTTGGAAATCAATACCCATTAGAAGTTATGCGAAATAAATTTGCTTCCTTGGATTCCATTTGCATCAGAGGAAGCCATTGCTGTTAGCTGAGTCAGGCAATGGGGAGCAGCCTAATACCCTTTTTTTTAATGGGGTGGGGGTGGGAGCAATGATGCTAAAAGGCCCAGAGAATGGTCCGAAGGCACATGCAAGAGTTCCTCTACCGAAGTCAAGTTGGTCTCATCCAGCAAGCAACACCTACGTCAGCTGCTTCTTCCAGTTCTTCCGAAGAAGAGTGTAAGTGCAATGATGAATAAAAATACTGTTACAGTATATAGGAAGTAAATGTACATCTCTTGGTGTCGGTAGTATGTGGAGTATCTTTTTAGCCGTGTTGGCCTGAAGCAGCAGAACAAAGTGACCAACAAAGTTTAATTCTGGGGGTAAGCTTTTGTGTACATGGAAACAAGACCATTACATACAGGTTGAGAAAGGGCGGGGGCTTAGTTGCCAGGAAGGGGTAATTGGAGCCACGATGCACAAGTAACTGAGTTGGCAAGATGCAACGAACATGAAATTGAGCAAACTTCAGAGGACGGCGGAAGACAGGAGGGCCTGGCGTGATCTTGCCCATGGGGTCGCGAAGAGTCGGACTCGACTGTGCGACTGAACAACAATAAAGACACTTGTATTATCTGTATGCTAATTTGGCGCTATTCACAGGTCTGACCAACTGCTTTAATCCAATCTTAGCGATACTTATCGCTCAGTTACCTATGCATCTTGACTCTAACAGTGCTTCCTGGCAACTACACACACACCCCCGCGCGCATATGTAATGGTTGAGGAAGTCTTGTTTCAGTGTACCTGAAGAAGTGTGCACGCACAAGCTTATACCCAGAATTAAACTTTGTTGGTCTTAAAGATGCCACTACACTCAAAACTTTTTTGCTGTAAGTTGGCAGAGACCTTGCTGAGACATTTCGATGTCTTGCCAGCCCGCGAAGAAGTTTGTTTCTGGAAGTGGCTCAGCTCCCAGGAGAAGAAAGCAGGTGATGGGGAAGTTGTCTGAGGACCAAAACGGCCACGCACGATCCTTGTCTCCCAGAGACAAGCAGCTCGAGTGTGTTGAATGTGCATGTGGACAGAACTGCTGGAAGCAACCCCTCCAAGGGACCCCTGTGCCCTGTTCGTAATAATGCTGCACGGATACAACAATGGCTGGTTTGAGCCGTAGCCAATAAAGGGGGAGAAGGTAGCCCACTAAGGTTTTCATTCGGGGCATGCTGCACTTTCCTCTCTATGGCCACCCTGACCTATGCTACACTTCCCTGTTTCAGGAACAGCCACATTCGCTGTGGCAGATGCTTCTGTGGAACAGAGTCTGCTTTAGGAAGAGGATGAATGCTGGTGGAAGCCTGTGGTTGTACATAGCTGGTCGTAGGAAGGGAAAATGCTAAAAAGCTGGGCTTCAGACAGGTAAGAAGAAGAGTTGGTTTTATACCCCACCCTTCACTACCTGAAGGAATCTTGGAGCCACTTACAATCACCTTCCCTTCCTCTCCCCAAAACAGACACCTTGTGAGGGAGGTGGGGCTGTTGTACACATCGTTTATGAACCACTTTATACTCTGCCACTGACTAACAGGTTTGACTTGGTGGGTGCACTTAGCACTTCCATGGTGCATATGTTAAGTGCCTTTGATTATTTTCTGTCCTACAGGGCTGAGAGATTTCTGAGAGGTGACCCAGCTAGCTTCATGTGGAGAAGTGGGGAATCAAACCCGTTTCTCCAGTAGCCCAGCCTTTGCCGTTTCTCCATAAAGCTCCAGTGTGTGCAACAGAAGTCCAGCGCTCTGCTGTGGCAGTTGGTGCCAATGCAACTGAGTTGTAATAGTTCAATTAATTTCAATAGTCCTCAACAGGCCTCTGTGTACCATGCTGCCGGGGGGGAAATTCACCCCAAGCAACTTGAATTCTGTGTCTTGCGCAAATTGGGCAAAAACCATGTGGTGTTTTTGTTGCCTGTAATCCTGCCAATGTTATTGTGGGCTTCTGACAGTGTGAGCCTCAACAGAGCTGCCTGCTTTTAAGTAAATTAAATCCCCCTTGTGCTAAAAACGGCGACGCTCTGTTTCAACTGGCACATTCGATATGCGTCATCTTCACTTTTCTACATGGAGCTTTTGTTATGGTAGAAGGCAGACTACCTTGGCAGTGAACTTGATTTCTTGAATGTCACAGAAGGGGCTTTCTTTTTTGACAGAAGAATTTGGTGCAGTGTCTCCGGGTTTAAGGAAGCATTGAGTAGACTAGTAGTG